AACACACATATTAAGTGAGAGACAAACACACATATTTACTGGACAGTTTAGTGAGAGACAAACACACATACTGGACAGTAGTAGATTAAAGTTTAGTGAGAGACAAACACACATATTTACTGGACAGTAGTAGTTTAAAGTTTAGTGAGAGACAAACACACATATTGCTGGACAGTAGTAGATTAACGTTTAGTGAGAGACAAACACACATATTTACTGGACAGTCGTAGTTTAAAGTTTAGTGAGAGACAAACACACATATTGCTGGACAAACACACATATTGTGGACAGTAGTAGATTAACGTTTAGTGAGAGACAAACACACATATTTACTGGACAGTAGTAGATTAACGTTTAGTGAGAGACAAACACACATATTTACTGGACAGTCGTAGTTTAAAGTTTATTTACAGATAAACAATTTCTGTTTTTTGTTTTTTCACTTTGAATTAGATTTCCCATGTTTTGTTGTTATTTCGACTACTTTATTCGCCCGTTAACACAGGATATAGCCACTCCATGTTCTCGGCGTTACGAAATTCAAATTGGTTTAAAAGTTCCCTTTTCCTGTGTTTGCGATGATGATATATGTAGTTATCGAACAATAATAACAGTCAGTGTTGAGAAGTAAACAGGTTTCTATTACTGACTTATAATGTACAGATGTAACACTCTCACTAAAAGTGATCTATATCATAACCAATTCATTTTACACTCGAATAACTTGGCTCCATCATTACGGCGTTGTTTTGCTTGCATCGTGTTTATACATATTTAGCCAGCAAAGTATAGCGGTTGTTTTTTTGTTTGTTTGTTTTTTTTTTTTTTTTTTTTTATTTTGTTTGTTTGTTTGTTTGTTTTTTTTAAAATTTTACGTTTGATGACTCATAAACAAAAAAAAAGATAGTGTATATACAATATAGATAATGTATATACAGTATATATTATAGATCACTCGCCTCTCACCTAGTCGTCCAGGGTTCGATTCCCGGAATGGATGTGAAAAGGTATTGGGTCACCTGCCCGACCACGTGGGGTTTGCCCGGATACTGTAGTTTCCTTCCACAGTAAGGCCCTCGCACGCTGGCATCCGGGCCAACAAGAATGATTCATAATTTGGAAATACGTGCTTCGCAATGGTTGTAAAATAAATAAAGTTTATTTTTTATTGTAGATTGTAGGTTCTTCATCTACGTCTTAACTCCATGTGGGGAGGGGGGAAGGGTATAAAAATCTGTGTTTCCGGGTTTCCGACTGTCCCTATTTTTCTGCCAATTGTTTTCAATATTTCTGCAATAAAATTACTATAAAATCTCCGTATTGATCGTACCGATATGTCCAGAAATACCAGAACCCTCACGTAAATTAACGTAGACGCTTGACATACCAATATCTCTCGATACATTTCTGCAGATGGAGTTCGCTTGTTTGTCAAAAGTAAGTTCAGTTTTACTATTAAGGTTTGTGTGTGTATTAATCGTCAACCTCTATCAAATACATAGTCTGGTTCTACTTCTCTCACAATGTGAAATTCAGATTAAAAAAGTAGCGACTAGGACCAAGTTTGTGTATATATAGATAAGGGTGTATGTGTGTGAATAATGAATGTGTGAACAATGGACAGGTAATCAAAAAACAGCAGACAAGCACAATAGACAATTGAAACTCCGCACATGCTAGGCAGTATGATAAACTTCTCATTATACACACATGCGACCTTACACATACCTGACACATGGGTATAAACCATTTACGAATCAATATGTGGTACTTTGAGAAGTCAGTGTCAAAAAAGCAATCAAACATTATATAAAACAAATAAAAAAAACGACCTTACCTGCAGACCCTAGTTTGTTTTCAGACAGAAACAGGACATGCAAATATTTTTTCTGTCCAATGAAAATGTATCATAGTGTGTCACAAACTGTGTATATATCTATATGAACACTAAACAGGCAATAAATCTGACAACGAAACGAGACACGCAGACAGCGGCCAAGCACGAAAAACTAGGACGAGCCAATAATAAAAGGTAAAAAAATGCTTCCCTTCTGGAGCCTCTTGTTTAATGCAGCTAGTCAACACCAAAATAAACAAAATGTAAAACTCGCTTTCATGTAAACTCGCTTTCATGTAAACTTTCTTTCATGTTAAACTCGCTTTTGTGTGAAACTGTCTTTCGTGTAAAACCGGCTTTCGTGTAAAACCGGCTTTCGTGAAAAACTCGCTTCACTTTTTCTTACACACTAACTGTTAAACCGTATTCATCAATATGTGTATAATCATTTCAAGCTCTGTGGGTGTTTGTCATAGATGTTTTGCAGACCCCATCATAATGTAGTCAGAAATGTTCAGTAGAGTTATGTGTATGTCCGTTAGAAATGTTCAGTAGAGTTCTGTGTATGTCCGTCAGAAATGTTCAGTAGAGTTCTGTGTATGTCCGTCAGAAATGTTCAGTAGAGTTCTGTGTATGTCCGTCAGAAATGTTCAGTAGAGTTCTGTGTATGTCCGTTAGAAATGTTCAGTAGAGTTCTGTGTATGTCCGTCAGAAATGTTCAGTAGAGTTCTGTGTATGTCCGTCAGAAATGTTCAGTAGAGTTCTGTGTATGTCCGTCAGAAATGTTCAGTAGAGTTCTGTGTATGTCCGTTAGAAATGTTCAGTAGAGTTCTGTGTATGTCCGTTAGAAATGTTCAGTAGAGTTCTGTGTATGTCCGTTAGGAATGTTCTGTATATGATCTGTAAGAAATGTTCTGTATATGACCTGTAAGAAATGTTCTGTTTTCACCTGTAAGAAATGTTCTGTTTTGACCTGTAAGAAATGTTCTGTATATGACCTGTAAGAAATGTTCTGTTTTCACCTGTAAGAAATGTTCTGTATATGACCTGTAAGAAATGTTCTGTATATGACCTGTAAGAAATGTTCTGTTTTCACCTGTAAGAAATGTTCTGTATATGACCTGCAAGAAATGTTCTGTTATGACCTGTAAGAAATGTTCTGTATATGACCTGTAAGAAATGTTCTGTTTTTACCTGTAAGAAATGTTCTCTATATGACCTGTAAGAAATGTTCTGTTTTTACCTGTAAGAAATGTTCTGTTTTCACCTGTAAGAAACGTTCTGTATATGACCTGTAAGAAACGTTCTGTATATGACCTGTAAGAAATGTTCTGTTTTGACCTGTAAGAAATGTTCTGTATATGACCTGTAAGAAATGTTCTGTTTTGACCTGTAAGAAATGTTCTGTATATGACCTGTAAGAAATGTTCTGTTTTTACCTGTAAGAAATGTTCTGTTTTCACCCGTAAGAAATGTTCTGTTTTCACCTGTAAGAAACGTTCTGTATATGACCTGTAAGAAATGTTCTGTTTTGACCTGTAAGAAACGTTCTGTATATGACCTGTAAGAAACGTTTTGTATATGACCTGTAAGAAATGTTCTGTTTTCACCTGTAAGAAATGTTCTGTTTTCACCTGTAATAAACGTTCTGTGTATAGCCGTCAGAAATGTAAACTGTTATCAAAATGGAAACTTGGAATCAAATGAAAATTTTCTTCAACATGATCTTTTTGATATACTATTTTGCTGGCTTTAATAAAATTATGGACAAATCTTAAATACACCTTGATGTGTTTATCTATGTTAAGATCCACGGTATTCTGGAATTTCCCACGTGATATATACATATAGCTTCTGAATCTTTGTCTTAAAATATTTCTTACGTTTGTTAAAAGAAGGCAAACCAAATATTCTTCAATCCGTCTTCACTAGGATTATTAATGCGTCTTTTAGGAAGATCCTCTGGTGAGCTGAATTTATTTTCTATATACAGGAGAGTTTTTTTTTGTTCCACCAATGTTTGAAGAAGATGTGTCTTTTCCCCTCTTCTTTCTATTTAATTTCAGTCTTACGTATTCTCCAAATAATTTTCGTTTTAAATTAGTTTCATGTTGTCTCAGTTCTATTGAACACCAGAATTTATTACTCAAATTTCGTTCACCCTGAATTTTTATAATTTATCTTTATAGGAACGCCCCTAATACGTTTCATCCTCATATAATCTAGTGGTCTACATTTCACAAACATATACACGTCCCAATCTGGACGTCCTGCGTGCACACAGATATCGTTGTCAATTTAAAAATAGCTTGGCAAATGAATAAATAGATAGATAAAAACATCTCACACTTATAAATATGTATAAAATAACACCTTTATATACTTAATGCATATAAAACCATAATTCATTGAGCTGGTCTATAAAAATATCCACGTAAGATTAAATATTCCGGTTGCCATTTGATTACCTTAACGATATATTGATTATATGAAATGATATTTGAATCTTTTTGATACTTTAAACATATGTTTTTGTAGAGTAGTACGTAGGCGTGTCGATAACCTTCAATATTTATACAATTAAAAAAGATAATACCTGGTTATCAAAAAATTATATCGGGAAGTATAATTGAGCAGACAGCTAAATTTCTGGAAAAGGAAATGTAATCAATAGGCTGTGGTATGCACCGACCGAAACGAAAATATTTTCTTTTCCGCGTATGAAATTTGGTCATTTTCTATATTGAGACTGAAAAAAACTTGACCCGGCGTTTCGGGTTTTTCCCATATATTTTGATTAAAAATGTTTTGTTTCTGATGTTACACATCTATTTATTATGTTTATGTGACACATTTATTTATGTTGTTTTTCAGTCTCGGCTATCATAACTTTTTCAGTGGTATATGAAGGCAGAAAGATTGACAAAATTTAAGTGTCCTTGATTCCCCGTTGGAGCCTCACGTTTATTTATAGCACCAGAGGAAGTACAAACAGTTTTATAAATTATGCGATTTTGGTTGGACAACGTCATTTATGAATGTCAATTAGGGGATTTCCCTTGTGACGAGTTTTTCCACGTGACCCAGAACTGAACCAATCGTTTACTATATCCGGGTGTCATTTTTACAGGTTAACAAGACGGAGGAAGACATACAGTTTATTTCTCTATCTTGAACAAATTCTAATATCCTAACGAAGATGACTGGTGTCAAAGATGAAGCTAAAGATTCTTGTATTGAAGAGAAACAAGACGGGGGAAAAATGGTTGCCAATAATCCATCTAAATGTGAGAATGGTAAGTACACGACATGGATCGCCGCGGGCGAAATTGTCGATCGTCGCGAAGACGCGACAGCACTTCTCTTTCAGTGGTGCACGCATGCTATCAAAATATAGTCAGTATGACTTGATTTTAATACCTCATGCATTTTAATCATTGTTAAAAAAACAAAAACGACCAGCCAAATGTCATTTATTGTCAATAAACTCAACGTACGGTATCGATACTGTTAGTAAAATAAATATGTCACGTCACTATGCTAATTTTTTGTTGTCGCTGAAAACGTCATGTGTTATTCACGGCAAGAGACATATTGGCAATAACTGTACAATGCTGTTGTTAATTTACACCATCAAACGTTATACATTTCTGATCTGAAGTGAAAGTTAATTGTCTTTGATTTATGTTTACATATCTTATATACGAGCACGTACAGGTAGATGTTTAAATTATGCAAATACAGCCGTGATAGTACGTTAAATTAATGACATGTTGACAGCCTTTGAATTCTGAGATTAAATTTCGACTCATTAGTCATGGAAATTAAATGTAAATCTCTGTGTATTATTCAGCCTAATAATATATTCTCTCACCTAATTACATGAAGTAATGTAATTTTAAAATAAAAAATTAGCAAACATACAGTATTAACTGTGTATGAAAATAGATTAATCAAACGAGTAGAACGTTTTTTTAATTTGTGACTTTCTCTCTTTGTCTGTGATTACTGTTATATGAAGAATGGACTTCAATACTTCACCACTGTAAATTATGTGAGTCACCTCAGACTTGAGTGCCTGGCTTGAGAGTTAGAGGTCACCTGTTCACGCTCCATTCGAAACAGAACATTTTTTCTATAACATAAAGAGCAGGCTTCTGTTCAGCAGGCTGTTTTATTGGGATGCGATTTTTATCACATAACTACATTGTTATCAATTTTCTAATGTCATTCCTTACATACATTTTTGTAATTTTATCTGTAACATGACCCAACGAAGCTATGATTTGGTGAAGATTCAAAGTTTTCCCTTCTTGATATTGAAACTTTGACAGCAACAACTCATATGAATTGTTATATCATGCAAAGAATGAGGATATACAGCATAGTGTGAGGATATGGCCAGTTAAGACTTTGGATCAATCTGATTTACTTAGTAGATGTTTTCACAAACATTTGTAAAGAGATCTATAGGTATGTGATAAACAGAACCTTACATTTGTTTCCATTCGATGTAAGTTAGACTCATCAATGGTTCGGTATACTGGAAAATTGGCTGCATAAATTTCATATGAAATTAAAACTTGTGTATTAAGATTTCCTTTACCGATGATATTTTTCTTAAATCTTGATATGCTGGCTCAGAGAACTTACCACAAATTTGAATTTTGTTTGTTTCCAGATGGGGTTGTTGACAACCTTGCAAACAATTTGTCTGCACTGACAATAAAAAGAGAACCTGTTGAAGACAATGAACTTCATGAAAGTCTGACAAATTTAGAGAGCCCTTCAAAGGGAGATAAGCCATCTCCAGATTATGAGGTAAAAAAAGAAGAAGTGAAGAGGGAAATTGCTACAGAACAGGCCCAGGAAAACAGTGCCTTCTTACGGCGAGGACCAACTCATGGCCATGCAACAACAAACAGCATCCAACACATCGGCTACAACAAAGGTTATGGTACAGCAAATGCACAAACCTTCAAAGACAAAAAGCGAGGACGGGAGGAGGATGGGAGTGATCCACCATTACGATATATGAGACCAGAAGATCAGGTTGAGTACAGTTCTCTGACAAAAGACAAGAGTTCACTTGGAATGATGCTTGTAAAATCACCGACTACAGACTTAAGAGAAATGAACTTTCCTTCTTTAAATCAGGATGACATACTGGATTTGGCAGACCAAGCGTACAGTCCTTACCCATCTAACAATGGTGGACAGTACAACGTGTCTTCTCAATCTCACGCCTTTAACCAGGGACTCTTCTCACAGAATGTCTACCAACAGACAGCACTGAGCCAGAAAGTGAATGGCAATGTTTGTATGGTTAATAATCAACAGTCAAGACCGAACAACATTGATCAGATGTATGGCAGACGTGAACCATACACAAGCGAATCGGAATCAGAGTCGGCAAAGAGTCCATATTCTGATCAGTTGTATTCACCCGATAGTTCAAGTGTCAAGTCTATAAATTCTCCACCACCATCGAACATGTCAAATGACAGTGGAATCATTGGTGATTTGACAGTGAACAGTCCCCCAGGCAACGCTTCACCTGCTTATGACCAAGCCCAACATAGCAACTACAGTACCACATGGGAAGAACAGTCACACCAGAACTCACCAAGTCAGGTCTCCAACCAGTCTATGGCATCACCGCCCCACATTGGTGGCTCCCAGGGAATGCCACAGGCGGCATCTCCCATGATGTCTTCAGTGTCTTCATGCTTGGCTGCTAATACCATAATGTCACAACAAAATAGAACACAAACCATGGTGTCCTCTAATCAAACACCAATGCCCTTAGGTGTACCAAACTTGGTCCCTACACAGTCCAGCTCTGGAGCTCCTCTAATGACATCACAACAATTCGCTAGCCATCCGTCAATGGTTCCTACCACCTCACAACCAGGAGCCCCTATGATGATTTCACAGGTCCCAAGACAAATAAATATTCCCCATGCTGGAGTGTCCCAACCCAACAATGTGTCTACTCAGATCACTCAACAGCCTGTAACCATGGCACCAATGATGTCATCAGTAGCATCAATTGGACAGCCCAATGTCCAATACATACCCCAACAAATAACAACTTCCCATGGTACCCAACTACTGAATGAACAGATTGATGAGAAGGAGCTAAACTTTGTCATGGAAGTACTTGTTGATGACATGAAGAAATCTAATGAAGAAAACAATATGAAAAACCAGGCATGCAATAAAGGGATGGCTGTACCACCAGCATTGGCTGCTTCAGTACCACAGAACGTTGTCACTAGTCCACCACCCCAGTCTATACCACAGAACAGAAACCTTGCATGCACCAACAAACCACTTCAAAACATACAGCCTGGACCAGCTCAAAACATACAGTGTGGACCAACTCAAAACATACAATCTGGACCAACCCAAAACATACAGTCTGGACCAGCTCAAAACATACAGCCTGGACCTACTGTTGTGACCACTGTACAGAATCAGAATCGTATTCCTGTCAACTTGGTACAAAACAATATGATTCCAATTACAACGCCAATGCCTATGCCAGTGACGAATGCCATGACAACCCCAGTCTTGCCACAACAGCCTGTCTCCCAAGCCCAGATGGTATTAATGCCTCCTGGTAACCAGACCACAGCCAACGGATTACAGACTACGGGGAATGTTGTTCAGCAACCAATGATCATCATTGTAAGCAACCAAAACATGAACCAGCCAGCTCGAAGTAAAGCACAAAAACCACCATTGAAGAAGATTCTTCCAAAACCTGGAACATCCTTACCAGACAGTTCAAAGCCAGCGAACGCTGCCCCTGTAATGACAAGGAATCTCAATGAGACTGGAACTAGACCTGTTGTCCCTAAGCCTGGACTAAACCAGCAAAGTAAGTCACCTTGTCTTATACCATTTGATTTACATTGTTGTTGCCTCATAAGTTAAATTTTTCCTTGATTGAGGCAATTATAATACAAAATCATTTCATGGACTTTCTCCCTTTATATTAAAAAGACTTCGGTATTTCTTCATAATTCAGAGGAGACTAATATGATTTTTCTCTTACTCAGACTGTGTTTTAATCATTGAATTTAATCATTTAAATTTAATTTGTTATTTCCTTTGAATAACATTTGCTATGAAGGTATACTTCTGTGAGCATGATTTAAAGATTTTGGAGGAGAAGGATAGAGGAAGACAGACGGTTACAGAATAATTTGGTAGGCATATAAAATGGATCCTAATAAAACTATTGATTGTTATGTAGATATGCCTGTAGCATAGTGTAAAGTCTTTTTCCTTTTATAGCTATTTACAGACAGAACTTGCTGAATATGGCACGAAGAACTGTGGCAGATATTTCCAGGGATAGACTTCGATTCCAGGACGACGAGGGAGATACGTAAGTTAATCATCACTATTTTATTACATAGGGGGTTTGGATCAGGGATGATATGTGCTATACAGGGCCTCTCAGGGGATCTGGATCAGAGATGATATGTGTTATACAGGGCCTCTCTGGGGGTCTGGATCAGGGATGATATGTGTTATACAGAGCCTCTCTGGGGGTCTGGACCAGGGATGATATGTGTTGTACAGAGCCTCTCTGGTGGTCTGGACCAGGGATGATATGTGTTATACAGAGCCTCTCTGGGGGTCTGGACCAGGGATGATATGTGTTGTACAGAGCCTCTCTGGGGGTCTGGACCAGGGATGATATGTGTTATACAGAGCCTCTCTGGGGGTCTGGACCAGAGACGATATGTGTTATACAGAGCCTCTCTGGGGGTCTGGATCAGGGATGATATGTGTTATACAGGGCCTCTCTAGAGGTCTGGATCAGGGATGATATGTGCTATACAGGGCCTCTCTGGGGGTCTGGACCAGAGACGATATGTGTTATACATAGTCTCTCATTTGGTCTGGACCAGCAACGATATGTGTTATACAGAGTCTTTCTTGGGGGTCTTGATCAGGGATGATATGTGTTACATAGTGTGTAGTTATAATGATTCTGCATAACGGTTTGCATTTTATGAGATTAAATTTACTTTTAAATGTACATATTTCATTGTATTATCAATTTTTTTAACTTCTAAATCGTTAGAAATAAAATTTCAGCATGCTTTAATAAGTAAATGAGTATTACGTGTGTATGAGTCCCTTTGACAAGAACTCTGATTGATGAGCTGTGTGTTATCATACAGGTACCTTCATGTTGCTGTGTGTAAGACTGATGCCAGTATGGTCCAGGCTCTGATCGAACGACTCTGCAGAGAGAAACTTGAGGTTATGATTGATATTGCTAACTGCAAGAGACAGGTGAGTAATCTGAAAGAAAAAGGAGGAACATTTTCCTACTGAACATTAACCTTAAATCTGATCCCTCCAGATTTTATAAAATGTCCAGGAATGGAGGATTGGTGAGGGAGAGGGGGTGTGTCAAATAGAGTCCCAGGGCATCCTGTTCCAAATGGTGTAAAATCATCATATCTTGAGAACCTCTCCATTAATGTTAAGGTTATCAAAATTAATTCTCCTGTAAGGGACAGAAACTCTCCTAAAGGTTTACATATCGGTCTAAATTTACCTTAGAAATATCACACTAAGTGGTATAATGGGGAATTTTCCCAACATTCTCCTAATTTCCATATCTTGTTTGTAAGTTATCAGTTCTTCATCCAGTTTTGAGAAAAACAAGAATCTTGTAAGCATTTAGATAGAATGTATTTTAATTGTGCTTGATATTCATTGATATTAGATAATTGTAAATAATTGTTTTATTTCGGAACTGGAGATTTAGGATAAGACATGTCAACAGAAAAAAAAAGTATTTCATTTTAAGTGTATCAATTCATTTTTGAAAATGTATCAGACACTTTATGTATTTTTGTTTCTTAATTATTCAAAGAAATTTCCATTTTCCTACTTTCACTTTGATAATAGTCAACAAGTGTTTGTGACTATATTTGGTATGGTTACTTTACTTTCTGTTTCTACATTTAGACACCACTGTATCTCGCTGTGGTAGCCAATCAGCCGAGGATGGTTAACAGTCTGATTGCCCGAAATGCCAACCCATGCTCAATGGCTCAGGTAGAGGCTACTTTCACTTTCACTTTCAGAATTTAATAAAAATACATTTCTGTGTGAAAGTTTTTCTTACATGTTCATCTTTTGGATTATTTGCATGTATTTTCCAATTATTTGCTGTTAATTTCCAACCCCCCCCCCCCCCCCAAAAAAAAAAAAAAAAGAAGCAAAACCAAGGACTCTTAAAAAGTTTTAATGTATATTTCTAATCCTGAAAAAAATTTAAACTCTTGAACTTGTTGTAATTAATTTGTCATTTACCTGTAATTACTTTAAATTCCTCATGTCACACAGGTGTGTTCAGGCGATGGCAAATCTAGAGAGGTGAAAACGCCCTTGCATGTGGCTTCATCCAACGGACATTCTTATTTGTCTACTCTTCAGGAACTTCTCCGATCTCCAGCCATCAATCTCAATATTGTTAATTCAGAAGGTATGTGAAGTTTGGATGTTTCAAGACTTTTATTTGTTGACTTCAGTGGAATTCAACCCGTGTTTGGTTGGATCTACCCCATACTGCTGCTGTAATAACACTTTCTGAAGAGAAAAAATAATTTCAAACAAAAATTGATTTTTTTTTATGATACATGTACATCATTTACTGATGAAGGTTTTTTTTAATTTTTTTTTGTAATTTTGTTTACAATCATTACCCTTTATTGTTCAAATTGTATCTGTGATACAATTTTTTTTCTTATTAAGTTATTTTGATATTTTTCCAATTTTTTAGAAAAAATTATGATTTGTTTTCTCTAGGTCACACAGCTCTCCATTGTGCCATCCTTGCTCACAGGCGTCAGAATAAGAACGGCCAGTTCATTGATAGTATACCCATCATAGAGACCTTGCTGAAAGCTGGAGCCGACCCTACATCACAGGTACAGTCAAGTTTGGGTGCATTATCATTTCAATTTTGTACTGAAATTCAATTTTTTTCTAATATGAATACTATTACAAAGACAAATTCCTAATGTTTTCCTGGCCTGAAATTCAAGAAGTTATTTTCTGTAAATTGTTCAAACACATAGATATCTTTAACCATATGTGATGTGAAACAGAATACGTTACCATATCAACTGACATTTTTCAGGACAAGAAAAATGGCAAAACACCTCTGATGTATGCAATAGAGAAACGGGACACTCCTTTAGTTGAGAGGATGCTTAGTATGTTTGAGCCCGGAGAAAAGCTTCGTAACCTTATAAAGTTTCAAACATTGGACGGCAGTACTTGCATCAAGATTGCTGAGGGACTCAAATTTGAATTCCAGCCTGAAAACTGGCAACGACTTTTAAACACACTCAATGCTGCTCTCAATGGGGATCCGCCCCGGATGATAAATGGAGTAATGTGAAAATTAAGTCGTGTCTCGTGTATCCGCAGGGATAGATTGTACATTAGGGTTATCTCCCTTGTGTTATAATGGGCAGTATTGACACAAAAAAGTGAAGATTGCTGTTTTCCTCAGTATAACATCTCTGTCGAGCATAACTCCCACATGCAATTGTGAATCAGGCTTGAGCTAGTCCAACCATCATGGCCTCTCTTCAATACGTTTGTTTATCCGAGATTGTGGGTGTACCAAAACCTTGGTAAAAAAATCAGTGTTTAGCAACATGTCCACCCTCACAAATTTGTTCTGTACAAAAGTTCAGACAGAAACATAAATGACACCAGATCAGTTTTGATCTCTTTTAAGTACATTGTAGATATTAAGTGCAATGAGACTCAAATTTTGTAACTTGTCACGTCAGAAGTTTGATTAATATAGTGTGTCCAGCTTGTCTTGATTATGTATCTAAATCTAACAAAATGTTTTAATTTTTTATTCCCCTGTCAATAAGTCATTGCAAATTTTTTTTATGTAACTTCTTATTAAAATTTTGACTTTCTTTGCCAAACTTTTCTGAATGGAAAAGTTTCACCAATTCTCTCTTGCACTCACCATTTTGTTTCTTTTTGAATTTGAGTAGGTGTTTAAGACTCATGCTAATTTTTTCATAGATGAAGGGGTGAGGGCATACACATTTTTTACAAATATTTCTAGTGTTAATGTTTAAGGCTATTATTAAGTGATCTATATATAGTTGGTATATTATAGAATGTTTCAATTTGTTGATGTGGAATTTTTTCAAGTTTGAAATAAATTGATGATCAATTACATCTGATTGAGAAGACTTAAAGTCTACTCCAAATTTCTCTAGTGAATTGAAAGTTTTTCAAACTCACAAGAATTACTGTAATATGACATCTTGATATTTGTAGAGAAATACTTTATATCACAATTAAGTGTTAGATAAGAATTGTTTAATTTGATTATATGTAAAGAACTGTTTCTCATAAAGTAATTGCATGTTAATTTGTCAGGTACTGGTATTTTGACCTGTTTAGAATTCATATGAAGTTGGGTTTAGATGGATTCTTGTGAATAAGGATTGATAGTTTTGCAATGGAAATGAGCAGTTAGTTTGAGATGAAACCTTTGATAGATAATAAAGTGCTATGATCTGTAATTATCTATAAATGGATGTCTAAGGGTTGTACCATCATAAGACAGGAAGACTTAAGGGTGTATGCTACCATACTGTGACATGGAGACTTGAGGATGTATGCTACCATACTGTGACATGAAGACTTAAGGGTGTATGCTACCATACTGTGACATGGAGACTTAAGGGTGTATATTTACAGGTTAGCAATGTAGGACCCATGGGTCTGTGATTTCAAGTGCTGTATTTTAAGTCATTGTCTTAATTTTATATTTCTGTGCCATATGTACTTTTATATTAAAATCTTAGATTTTATGTGAATTTTATTTACATGTTGCTTAGAAAATGGAAAATCATTAATCTGTAGAATGATGATATACATAGTAAATTTGAGATTTTTGATATTTCTAGAAATATGTAAAATGAAAATAACATAGTAAGGGATCAGTAACATATACATTTCATATTTGAAACTTTTCTGCTGCTTTAAAAAGTTGGTCACATTGTTGCTATCCTAACTCATTTGTAATAAAAACAACAAAAAAGGATTGGTTTTGTCACTATGGTGATGAGACATATGGTCATGGCGACAGCATTGTACCATTTCATTTGATTGTTGCAATTGTTGTCTTTATTGTTTCTTCAGACTGAACCTGAAAATATCTATAAAGAAAAAATCAACGTCTAGAAATCAGTATTATGTTTATATATTTATTTTGATGACAGGAATAGAAGTGTTGTTTATATAGGTAGATACTGGTAAATCTATAAATATCTACGAGATATATATTACTGTACATTGAATACAATAATAAAGATGTTTATTTATAGTTATGTTGTTTAAATATTTATTGATTTGTTGTAGACTTAAGATGTGTACTATTTACTTTGTTGTGGGTATGATAAGAACAACAAATAATACGAAAAAACAAAAACAAAATCAAAATTGATATAGAAGAAAATGTTTGTTTTAATACGAGCCATGAGATCTTATGAAAAATATAGTTACTTTTAATATTTAAAAACTGCTCCTGTTTGTTGTACATTGGTCTGTTGAAAAGGACATTGCTTTGAATAAGGAACCAATGGTATCCAATTTTCACCTTAGAAGAGTGTTTTCAGTGTTTAAATGAGAGAAATGTTTTATTAGAATTTCTCCAGTATCTGAAGTAGGGGAACAAACTATTGTAATTAATGCCTAGCTGGTCTAGAGTGTTTAATTTCATCAGATAAACTATATAATTTTGTTTTTCATGCCTATTATATATTTCTATTTCAATATCAGATATTTTTATTGTAGATATATTTCTATCTAAAAAATTCTATTACAATAATGAAAGCCTGAAAGTTTCTATTAAGTGCCTTTTAAGCTCTCTAAACATTTTTTTACTTGTTTGTGTTTGTATAAGGAATTGATGTGATTGACAAGATATATACAGTAAAAATCTTATAGACCCCTGTTGATACTGTCCATTTTGTTACTATGATATGTGCATTAACCCCTGAACGTGCTTTTGTTATTTCTAACTTGGTCATGTGACACACTTAAACTTTGATGAATAACTTAATCGTAACCAGTTACATAGACTAAAACTTTGTCGGTTTCCATCAGGTTGACTTAAGTGTATATTCAGAGATTGAGACAATTGATGCATTAAATTTTGTTTATTTGGACCATACATTTTGTAATAATTAATTCTTACGTTATTTGAAAATCACCTGTAACACAACTGTTTCTCTGATCTGTTCTGTATTGTGGTACAAAATCTTTTGTTTAGTAAGTATTTTCATATTGATGTTTTTAATGTAAAATGGCAGCAGATTTCTATGTAAATACACTAGCTGTATAAATAAAGCAAATGTTGAATTTTTACATATTTTGTTCTCAGTTTTTAGCTCTTCTGACCGAAGGGTCTGATGACCTATTGCGATCGCCTTTTGTCCGGCGGCGTCTGGCGTCCGTCGTCCATTGTAAACATTTTCAACTTCTTCTCAAGTTCTACATGTCTCATTGAGCTATAACTTACCTGAAATGATCATGACATGATCTTGACCAAAGTTTGTTAATTTCGGGTTGGTCCGAAATCCAACATGGCCGCCATCTTGAAAACACATTTTCGACTTCTTCTCAAGTTCAAAGTTTGAAATCTTGTATTTTATGTCAGATGACCGTTAAGGCCCATTGGCCTCTTGTTTAGTCCACTGTTCTAACATGATGGATTATTCATGAATTTTCTGCTCACCTGAATTGATCTTCTGATGTATCGTGGTATCTGTGGGTCAGTCAAGTTTTCTTTAAATGACTTCTGCTCGAAAAGAAGCGGTTGGTAACCGGTCATGACTGGCTGTTAGGTTTGTGGGATGAAGCCCAACAAAGTTTGTGAAAAGAGACCTTGACCTAGATTCAAAGCCACACAAGTAAAATTACTTAAAAACATTCAAATAACTTCTCATCATGAACAAAAATGACTATTATGATATTTCTGTGGTAGGTTCATTTGATATAGCCCCACAAATTTTTTTAAAAGATATTACAGTGACAGATATTCAAGGTTTCAGGGATCAGATTTCATATGAAAATCCAACTACTTCAGGCCAAGTAAGATCACCCAAAAAAGGAGACCTATAAGCTTTAAGGTTGCCTGACAAGCATTCACTGTAAGGATATCCATTTCATTTACAAACTAACTTCCCGTGATGGGACCCTACTCCATTCCTGGAGTCGAACAAACCTCATTATTCACGAGATCAATGGGCTTCCAATATAATTTTCCGAAAAATGGTAATATTCAGAAAAAAATGTCATTCTATCAATGATGTTGAATATGACCAAAACATGTTCCTTAAAAGCCATTCATCGTATCATTTCTGTAAAACAAGTGATATATCACAGAAATTTCCTTAGTGAGATTATATTGGGATGACGTACAAACAAGCTCTGTTGTCAGGTAGTTTTGATCTTAGCACTGTTGAGACATATGAATGAGGAGTGCTGAGATGGTAAAACCTAGTTGGCTTCTGCCACAGAAATTATACTGATGTCCCTGTCTCATAGTTTTATCTTCCCACCAGACACTTTCAGTAGGTCCAATGTTCTTCAGAGTGACTAGCCCCTAAAAACACTATACCTGTAGCGATAAGTCAAGTATGACTACAGGCATGGCTTCAATATGCACATTTTAATGAATACAATATTTAGTAGACATTTGACAAGAACCTGCAACACAGATGTATGGCTTAGTACAAGACTAATGGAATATTTACATTAGAGTATGCAAGATGGACATCGGAAGTAGATTATCAATAAGACCAGACCTTTACCAGGGAACCAGGTCTGTGCTGGGTGCCAGTCATGTGTGGAGAGAGGAGACTATGCAAGTATACAAGGAAAGTGGACAGTACTCAAATGTTGTTCACAGCACATGCAGATAACTTCACCCAGCTATAATGTTTATACCATATCTATAAGACACTTTGCTCTGCATCTGTCTGATGAAACCTGTTTGATCATTTTCTTTCTTTCGTGTTGTATGTCTTACCAATGGTTTCCTCTGAGGGCACAGTAAAACAAGTTATTACACACTGATGGGGCTCCACTACTACAAGGTGTTGGAAATGGTGTAAAAATAGTGCATAAAAGCACTGTATTCTGTTTATCACAATGGGTATTATAACATTGATAATTGTGTTGTGATCATTCCGTATTATTATGTACATGTAGATATAATGATTCACAATGGTCCTGTTTGTTTATATTTCCAAGCCTTCATAACAAAACTGATTCAATCTTGTAATTCTATTTTTTATTCTGACCATCTAAAGTTTTCCTATAATTTTCTGCGGCTTCAGCTTATGTCCTAAAAGTACCAACCATTTTCTACAGCTGTACTTCACGATTGTTACAGTATCCTGTTGTCTACAGCATAACTTCACGATTGTTACAGTATCCTGTTGTCTACAGCATAACTTCACGATTGTTACAGTATCCTGTTGTCTACAGCATAACTTCACGATTGTTACAGTATCCTGTTGTCTACAGCATAACTTCACGATTGTTACAGTATCCTGTTGTCTACAGCTTTACTTCATGATTGTTACACACAGTATCCTGTTGTCTACAGCATAACTTCATGATTGTTACACACGGTTTTTTCCAATTTTCCCAAATTGTACAATATCATAAATTGGGTAATTTCTGTATCCCACCTTGTAAAACTGTTCTTTCTACAGAAACATTTCTCTGGATTGCCTGTTTGGCTGATATAGGGTGTCTCACGGGTAATTTTAGGAAGGAAATCTCAATAACCATATAATTCATGTTACATTCTAGGTTAATCATACTGGACAGAGTACATCGCCATGAATAAATCATAAATCATCATAATAAATAGTTCTTTATTCACTTTTGTACAAAGAGGGAATTTCAAGTGACATGTGACTGTACATTCTGAACATCCATACCATATATATATGTATAATTATAAGCATTGACAGCGTTATGTATCTTCCTCGTTAAAAAGAAACCCCTCTTTGGTATTCAAACCATCATTCTGTATCTTTTATAAAAATGTTGGTAAGAAATTATTGACGTAATGCTATTCTTTATTCTAATTAATGCCAACACACGTTTATATTTGAACATGCATTTATAGATAAACTGTCTAAAGAACAACACTATCTGATGATCCGAAATTCAAAGATTAAATATCGAGCAAAAAAAAAGTTAAACCTCTGTATTGAATGTTATTTTTCTGTGTTAGCATCAATATATTCAAATATTTCTTCATTTCACTTTCTAGATGAAAATGTTTAACATCTAGTCAAAACCCCAGAAAATGAAGCAACTTTTCAATGTTTTTTAAATCGCCTCAAAACATGAGTTTATTAGTTTCTACCGCAATATGATGACAAACATTACCATATTTGGCTATTAAATTGCATTCATAAGGTAAAATGTCATGTTTAATGTAAGTATTTCAACATGAACGTGTCAGTGCCTTTCAAAATAAAACTCTGAGAACTGAGCACACTAGTCTGGTCCTTACTAAATATCACATGATAATAAAATAAACATATATCACAGCTTCAATGCACTTGGACACAATCATTACAGTGTGCTGGAAAATAAAAATGATCTGCAGCAATGAATCAACAATTTGGGTCATGTCTTCCTTTTTAAAAAACCTCAATATTCCTTCAGACAACATCTTTTTGCCTAAGAATATATCAAATGAAATATACTCCAGCAATTCAGAAAAAAAAAGGTCAGATATGCCTATAGCTATTGATTTACTGATTTTCTGCTGCACGATGAGTGGAAATGTTTATAAAAATTGTTTAATTGTATACAACAGATGATAATACAGAATGATATTCACAATGAACTAACTAAAAATCCTATATACACATAAAAATGGTGGACGGTTTCATCAACAACGGGTGATATCTTAACGAAAGTCCTAACACTTAAATTTATGTATAGTAAACAGAAATGAAAAATCGTTTTCATACACACAATACCGAAAAAAAAAGTATGTTAGACGAACTCTTTCAAAGAAAGTCATAAAGATGAACACTTTCAATGTTAAGTTCAAGTTTGATTTTATTATACGTATGATTTGAATTGACCATCATTCTTGTAACTGAATATCTGAGGTGTTCATACTCTGTAACCTGAATTTTAGTTTTGTGAGCTTCATACTTGAAATAAACAAACCTAAACTCTAAAGGGGTTTCCATTTTTTCAAATTTTAAATATATCACTCTTGTTGTTCCTCAGGGAATGTATATCATAGGTGTGGATTATATCTTAATCTTAATCCTTAGAAAGTTTGTTTGACAGTTTATAAGGTATTCCTCAAGCACTGACTTGCTGGGGTGCTGTAATTTTTCTTTCCACTTGTGCCAAATACTTTTCTGGAATTCCAGCATTTCTGAAAATAAAAACAATATCACAAATAAAAACTGAGCTTACACAAATGTTGCAATAACTACATTTGTTAAAAAAAACACATAAATATTTTGCTGAAAAAAAACACTGATGCTTCTATTTACATTTTTCTTCACACAAAATATAGTTAAAATTTCTCGTTATTTAATAAAGCTTCTGTTCTGTCAAACTTCTTATTTCATGAGCAGTATAGCACCGACATAATTGATCTTAAGCTGTTAAAAACTATGCTCATGTTTACTAGGTATGGCCACATCTCTGTGACGAATAAGTCAGAAACCTCTTCTACCAGTTCCTTCATCCCCAAATTATCTCATTTAAAATTTCATGTTTTAATTAATAAATTTGGTCCCTCAGGTAAACATTTTTTCAAGACCAAATTCTTTTCAGATGGAGACTTGGGGTGACATTCATAATGATATATTGATCACATCATTAAGAGGAGATTTTCAGAAATTCACGATATTCCAGATATGAATACATGTACACAAATACACAAATACACAAACCTTTTTCATGCGAATAAACTAAAAATCTTACCCTTGAGTATAACATTCGTATTTGGAATAAATCACACAATACATATGTATAATCACACTGTACATGGCTGGTTAAGTTTACACAGTGTTAAATCAGATAAACGTATACACCAAAACCAATCATATATTCAGAACACATAAAGTCACCAAGACACCCAATATGCCAAGCACCCACAAAATGCCATGCACACATAGTACTGTAGTAGTTTCCATTGGCTTACAAGTAATCTAGCACTGTCCATAACAAGACTTGCTAAAAAAGCTCTTTGTAAAATCAGTGTTAATTCAGCTGATAATTTAAAAACATCAATCTTGGGAATAAGATTCCCTAAACTGCAGATTTTAATCTATTAAATGAACTGAATAATTGACAACACAGAAAAAAATGCCAAAGCAAAATAAAATCAGGGTCTTTTTTTTTTTTAACTTTTAATTTTTTTTTTCTCTTTCAGAAAATCTGATACAATGAAGGATACATTAAACCAAAATATTTAACTTTTAAGAACAGTTTTGTAAAACAATTCTTTATATTTTGCTACAAATATAGGAGAATCACTTTGGCAAAAAAAAAAAAAAAAAAAAATTGAGGAAAATTTCTGAATGGTGACTCACACATGTGCATTACTATATGATAACTGGGCATTCAATGTGATAATTATTAAAAGAATTATAAATTTCATGCAAAGTGATTGTATTGCTGACAAAAATTTAAGTAAACAAAAAAAATTTTGTGCTTTATCCTCCAAATATCACAAGTGAATTATGAAAAACTGGATACAGGTCACCACTAAATCTGGTACATTGGTACAATACACAAAAAATGTGACAAAAGAAAAACTCAAACAAATTGAATTGTGCATTATATCAAGCCACACCCAAAAGCACCTTGGCATGTGCCAATCAAACAGTACTAACCCCGCCTCCCATTGGAGGAAATGCCCCACAATGGTTGTATATCTATGATGCTGTGACAACATCAACTTTATGTGCCACATGAGTGACATATCGATCTGGTATACCAGCAGCCCTGTTGACAAATTTCCAAAAATATTCATATCATGTTTCTAAGTAATTTTTCATTCATTTGATACTGTATTAATATCCTCAATAATCACAAGATAAAACATGATGTCCTCAATTAAACATATTTTCCATCAATTTTACAAATCTGGCCACAAATAATTTTTAATCTTTTAAACTTACCATTGGTAAGTTATTTCTCTGTTTAAACATCAATGTATCAAAGCTAAAAAATGAGGTCTAGCATTTTCCATCAGCATCTGTGAAATTCCTGTCTCCTGTGGTCTACATAATCCAGAATATGAACAGACCTTTTTTGACAGATTTAGACTAAAATTACTAATTAGGAGTAAAACCCACCTCAACTCTCCTAACTTCTTCCTCTTCACTTCCTCTAATTTGTTTCGTCTGATACGAGCTTCCTCGTCCAATTTAACACCCTCTTCAAAGAATGCATTACGCTCCATAATACGCTGTGTTTCTTTCTGGCGAATTTGGTGTCGAACATCATCAGCATGAGCATGTCGTTTCTTGGCAGATTCTTCCTCCTCTCGACGTTCCTTCTCCACAAGTTCCTTCTGAGCTCTATTTGGTAAAAATACAGACAACTCTTTGACTCTTCGTATATCTTTTAAATTACTAAATTACCTTTTTTGGTGTAATTTCAAGAAAATTTTGAGAGTTTGAACTTGTTTCCATACATTCAGCAATATCTACTCCTAGATAATAGTCAATTCTCCAAGTAGTTATCTTTGCCTGATGAAAACAATTCATTTTTGTGAAAATATTTTCAAAGTATTGACGTATACACCCTCCTTTTTCAAAAATGATAAAAGTAGAAAAAAAAATTGTTACTTGAAGTAAGAAGAATGAAATGAGAGAACAGAGATTTCTTTTTCAAAACAATGCTATTTGGTCCTAATACTGTAGTCATGTTCTCTTTTCTAATTTACGTATCAACAATTTCAGAAGTTAAACTTGAAACTAGAGGAATAAAAACATTTGCAGACATGAAATCTTTGTCAATTTTGAGCATACTCACCGAAGAACTCTCTCGAACTCGACGCGTTCCCTTTGTGCCTGGACAGCTAAGAAATGTTCCTTCTGGTGCATCTGTTTGGCACGTGCGTCAATCAACATGGCTTCCGTTTCAGCTTTTTTGCGCATTTCCTCTGCCTCCTTCTTCCTCCATTCCCTTTCGGTCTGTTCCTGGGCACGCTTGGCTCGCAGGGCGTCCCTCTCAGCTTGTTCATCCCTGGCACGTTCCTGAAGTGCTCGTAATCGGGAAGTCTCTTTCTCCTTTTCAATCCTGATACGTTCTTGTTCTTTCTCAAAGGCAGCCTCTCTCTCCTGATAACAGAAATTAGCTATTGGTAAAATAGAATTATCTAGGCACATGTATACTAAAATATGAATAATGACAGGTTTTTAAGATGGATATTTCATGAACATTTAATGCTTTAACAATTTAGGCCTGGAAAAATCATGTTATCAAAAAGTCTCTTAGACAGTTTGAAATTTTAGCTTCAAATCAAGAATATTTGTAAATGATGAATAACTTGTTTGTGTCATTTCAGTGTCCCCATTGGATTTAAAAGCCAAGGACGTCAGTAAACTCAGTCTGTGATATGCTGCATTTATAAATCAACAAGGATGTTTTAAGCATAAGATAAAAACAAAATTAGTAGGGGCTCACATAGATATTACTTTAACTCCCTGCTCATATTTTAGATCTGTTGGTTCATCAGCAGATATGTTGTACCACAGCATTTTAATGTAAAATTGGTCAAGTGTGACCTTTGACCTTGACTAATAACCATCAATATTTAACCCAGTGTAGAACTTGATGTTGTAATGCTATGGTTTAAATAGACATCTTGTACACAAACTTTGTACACAGACTGATTGATTAGCATGTAAACCCATTCCCCTCATTGTTAACTTTGAAGTGGTGGTAGAAAAACAGTGATTACACCAATCATTTACTTTGGAAATAACTTACAGCTTTCTTTTTCATGTACTCCACGACCTTCTCCTCCTCTGCTCTTTCCTGCTCAGCTCTGAGAGTCTTCCTTTGAATCATCTCTTCGTTGGCTTTGTTTAGCTCTTCCTAAAATATATTTAAGCATTGGAAAATATTGAAAAACATCAATATACTTAGGGATCCAATTAAACAGTTTCACTAACTATAAATGATTCCAAATTTATCAGTCTTCACTGTTGTTCAAGAAAGTTTCAAGTTGTTTATGGCATGCAATCTTCTAAAATATTTCGAAATGATACAACAACTTGAAAAATTCTTGAAAGTTTTCAACGCATGCTGGGGCCTCCTCGAACCTACCCTGAGATTAGTCTGTTCAACTTTACGCTTCTCAAGACTTGTCTTGTCTTCCTCCATCATTTTCTCAATGTATTTCTGCATCTGTACATTTTCCATGTCCTTCCTCTCCAGCTCAAACAAACGTGATTGTTCATTCTCCTGGATTTGGTCCAGGAGTTTAGCAGCCCCTAGGTATCGCTCCCCCTTTCTCTGTTTTTCGATCTCCTCTTGAATCTTAATGGCGTTCTGTCGATCAACCTCCATCATGGAGTCTAGACGCTTTTCTTCAGTGATCATCTCACCCTTAATCTGATGTTTCTCGAGAATCTGAGCATCTCGAATAGCATGGCATTTAGCATTCAAGATAAGCTGAAAAATGAAAAAAACAGAATTTGTCAAAAAATAGGAAACTTAGTTGAATAATCTGTTTTACGTCCCAACGAATCAAACAGGATGTAGAAAGTATAGAATTACATCTCAGACAGAAATCTATATATGCTGGCCCGGTTTATCACCCTGTGAACGGCCAGGTTCTATTTTAGACAGGGTCTCCTTGCAGGAGCTGTTGGCTACCTCACTGGACAAGATATGATAGGTCTGTCATATACCATTCAAATCAATTTATAGGGTGAAATATCCTGTCAACGGATACATGTCAGCACAGATTGATCCGTTTCTTAGCTTCCTGACAAACAGGAACTGCTTTAGGTAGTGAGCATTGGACCATAAACCTGAGATCTCCATCAGAAGTTACATAGGTCAACCCTGTATACACTGAGCTATCATAGCTCCAGACAATTTAGTCATTACTTACGTTGTCCCACATGATCTACATACCTCATTAAGATGTTTGATTTCATCCTCCTGTTCCTGTCTCATTTCATTAGCCTTGGCCAATAAGTGTTCTGCATTCTCTTTTGCCTCTTGTTCTAAATCGTTAAGTTTCTCATTTTTCCTCCTATCCATGTCGTACTCCTTCATTTCATTTTTTCGTCTTTGGCACTCCTCCTGGAACAACAAACCAATATTCAACTTTACAAAAAAAAAAGGGATGATACTTTAATATATAAAATTGGAATTGATCAGGATAAAGATAATCTATTAATTGATTGTTTTATGTCAAAACTGATAAAATAATTTGTTTTTCTTACTAAATCATTGGTTTGGTACAGGTACCTAATTATTTTCCTATATTTGATCAAAATATAAATTTTACATTATACATTCTAAAAACACTTTTTGCCCTATACAACTTTTAGCAGTAAACTGAAATGCATGTGTTTACATTGGGATCCATGTATACAGGCATATACTGATACTCTGAAGGTTTTAATTAACTGGAAAATATATTGTGTTATCTTGAACAACCCTGAATACATGGATATTTATGTTCTCATTTTTAGTCGATCATACTTTACCTCTTCTCTTAGTTTCTCTTCCTTAATACGCATCTGTTCAGCTAATTTTTGTTCTTTAGTTAAAACTTCTGCTGATTTTAGGATCCTGTAGAAATCATATCGTGACAGGACCATGGACTGTCCAGACGGATCTGCTGTTGGAACTCTGAAAAACAAAATGATCAATTGAAGTGGTAGACATTTTGATCTTTACTGTAAGAAGTTGTTATTATGGTACTTAATTACTATGTATTATAAGGTAATAAGGGAATTATGAGTTAAGATAAAATCTTCATGAAGCAGATTTGAAGACATCTTAACATGATATCTTATAAAATTCCATCACATGTAGACAGGAAATGAATGAAAACATCTCCCTATCTTATCTAGCTTTCCAGGACACATCCAAATCACATCACTTACATTGTTACCTACTTACAAATCAACAATTTCACAAAGAGCATCACTAGAGTACATAGTCTAAATTAAGCCAAGGATTTGTAAAAGCTAGACCATCAATTTGATTTAAATGCTTTGGTTTTACAGCTAGACAGTAGGACATAGATATGGGGGTTACTGATTCAGCCTACACCAATGTTTCACTGCTGACAAGTTCCAAAAACACCTTACTTTTGAACCATTCCCTTTCATTTTCAATAAATTCTATTTTCCTAACCGCTTCCCAGATAAAAATGCTACTGACATTCTCTTGATAAATTATACAGGGATGTACATTGCAAATTTATAAAGTAAAATTGAAAAACAAATTCACTTATCAGTATCATGATAAATTCAAAATCAATTCCAGGATGTTATTGGAATACGTATACGTTGTCATAGTGTACAAGTCATACACTTCTTTTTTCTTTCTTCAGTAAATATTGCCAATACTCACATTAAATTTCGGATTAGATCTTTTGTAATCACTTGAACTGTTTCTTTTCCTTTCTTTCCATTGCCATTTTTCCTCTTTGCACTCCTTTCGTGTGCCATCTGTTCAATTGAAACGTCCTGGTTGCTCCATTTTTCCTGAAGCAATTCTTGGCGTTTGGAGACATGGTTTGGGGCACCAAATAAAGATTCATCTACTTGTGAATGGTTGCTTACAGTCCTGTAATTCTTAGTTTTACCTCTTCTTGATGAGGCTGATGAAGACTGACTTCCAGCCGCTGAGATTACACTGCCAGGCTACAAATAAGAGTTTAATGTGAAATATTGTTATGAGTGGAACTGAATATCCTTTAACTGCTTTTAATTTACTCCCTGACAAAAATGGACTGTAAGATTCAATGCCAGATCTGTAGTTCATATTGTATACCCTTACTTAACAGTCATTGAATGTATATGTAAGCTTCATATAAATTTACATGTGGATGATATGCTAAATGTAGAGATATTAAAATTCTGTCAAAGTGTTTATTTTAACAATGAGTAACTGCTGAAAATTCAGCTGACAAAACGTCATCAGCTGTCACCACGAGTGTCCACAAAAAAGTTGGATAAATGGCGACTGTACTGTAGAAATTGAGAGTACATTTCACCTTACTAGCCTTAGCTAGTGGAAAATTTCACTTTGGTGAATTGGTAGAGTAAACCAGGGCTCTCGATCTGCCAGATTTGGGGCCGATTCCCAATGCAAAATAGTATCTTTTTTCCCAATTGAGACCCCAAGTTTTCCCAATTTTAAGGAAAACGCCAATATTTTTCCCAATTCTAAGGGCCCCGGGCCCCAGTCCCAAAATGGGAAGTGAGAGCCCTGTATACACATTTAAACTTGTTGCTAATTTGAAACTGCCGAGGATAGAAGCTACAAGAGACTGAGATGCTTCCTTGGAGATATTGAACTTGAGTTGTTGTTGTCTTCGGAGTCAAAGACTTTGTGAAGGAGGGAGCAGAGAAGAAGTTGAGAGTACAGGTTACCCTACTAGCCTTTGTATATGGGAATTTCTCTTTAGTCGAGCTGTAGAGTGTCCGACTAGAGACCGAAGGGTTGTAGTTCGTACACGCCCGGGGGCACTGTGTTTTTCTTTACTCCTCCCTATTACAATAATATTCTGGTAGCGGTTTAACTACCCAGTTAATCCGTCTAATTTGTAAAAAGATAGCATATATACATAAATCGTAAGCGTATGTCCAAAGGATTCTGACAATTTATTTTGACCCCGCGAACAACACACATGTATGTAAGTAAGTATACTCATACCTTGTCGTCAACGTTCCATCCCACAAGATAAATGTGAGGACGCAAAGGGCGATTTAATCAAAAGACAATGTGGCCAACAGAACAGTAACAACTTCCAAATACTTAATGTAATATAGATGATATTAAAAGCCCTACATGATGATAGTCCATCAGCATATCAACACACAATGTCAACACGAAATTTACAATCATCAATGACAATCCTTCCTGGCCAAAAAGAAATAAACGGCATTCAATCTTGACAAATTCGCAGATAAACAATGTATATCTATGTTTTCCGAGAACTTAAACCATCGATAATGTATTCAACTTACCATCTTTCTTGACTAGCCGACAGAATCACAATCTATCGGTGTTATTTAGCACATACAGTGTTTTTCGTCTCCAACTCTCACAAGATGGTTCCCAATGCTATTTACATGTGGTTGTTATGACGATGACGTAGGGTGGCGCTGCAAACAAGGGACATAATCGGCGATGTGATATGAAAGCTTGTACGTCGTTCCCGCACCCGAACATAGATTCACACTGGACTACCAGAATTTTCTCTCGGAATTGTTAATAATAACTTATTAAAGTTTGTATATTATGCATATTTGTAAGCGGCCAGCAAACGGTCGTAATGGTCCCTGGGTTCTTTTCTCCATAAGATTAGTTAATTACCGACCTTAATGGATATTGACACGGACAAACCGCGTGCATGTTACGGTAGATTCAGTATCTCATGTGTTGTATATTGGATGCTGTTGTAGTCAAGCCATCTCATGCTTTAATCTCAAACTAATTGAAACAGAATCATCCTTTGGTATTAAATGGACTAGTACATGTATATAATTGTAATAAAAAAAGTCTCCAAAATCAACATTCGGGATTTTTTATGCTTCAAATAGGATCAAGGAAATAAGAATAAAAACATTAAAATGTAAACACCAACCTCTTGTGTAACACTGAAAAAGATAATTAAACTCTCCTGCGAGACCATCAATGTACAGATTCTCCTAAAAATTCAATATAAACCCTCAGGACCTAAAAAATACCATAAATATTGCTACGTGCATTCAAACATCTAACATTTCAGCTTTTGATGCATTTGTAGGACAGAATATTGAATAATTAACATCGATACTTCCTTCACCGAAATGCTTTGAAATATAGTCTGTTTATTTAAGTTTTAATAATGAGATATTTTACTTTCATGTATGAGAATTTATGACTGTTTAAGGAACGGTTTTGAAGTCCAAATTAACAATATTTCAATTTTTGCATATCAGATTTTAGCGATATCATCAGCAAATGCTGAAAAATGGTTCATGGTTTCTCATGCTTTTTATTCTTAGCAGATCTTGGTGAAGATATCTGCAAATAATTAATGAAGTCAGGTTGTGAACTCCTCACCTCATGCAAATTTTACAAACCTGATAAAAATGGTCACATCTACGATTTGGTGAATAGAAATATTAATGTGATCATCTTTTATCATTTTTTTTTTTTAAACTTTTGTCAGGAATTTCTACCAAAACATGATCCTCTTGATTAAGAGGAAGTGAAGTTTAAGCGAATTTCTTAAGCAAGAAAAAATCATAGAAAAAAAAAAAATAAATAAAATGTCAACAATATTAAAATTCAATTCATAAAAAATTCAATTGTTTAAAAAATGGCAAAATCAGCTGTTAATCAGATAAAACATGTTAAATTTTTTAGCCGTTTCTTAATCTTAGACTTCACCGTATTTGAAGTGTTGTGGCAATATTGCATGAAATTAAGTTTTCACAAGCAAAGCTTTGACACCTCTTTATACTCATCTTACCAAACTTTATCATTTCTAGTCAGTGCCTCTTCATACAAAATGTTGTTTTATGAAGTTACATTTAAACTAATTTTGTTACCAAGATTAAGTTACAATGAGAACTAGGAACTGGGTAGATGACATCACTTCCTGTCTCTGGAGTGCTTTACGATAAAGTGTGGAATATTCGAACATGCTGCAGAAGTTACTATTCTTCAACTAAAGACAGTCATAGAGAGTGTATGTACAAGTTGTGATTCAGTCTCTGCTCAGCTCCAACAATGATTTGTTTACTAGAAACAAGAATCCAGTATTCACAATAGTTCTATACATAGATTTCTTTGCATGTGATCTATATTTGCAAATTTTAAGATGAAATAAATTTGTAAAGGTTGGTCATCAAAAAACTAAAATTCAGATGACAGTAACTAGAACTATCACCTGGATAGCTGACTAATAAACCAGAGTCCATGATCAATATGGACTGAATTAACTATTCCTTCAAATAATTTGGATGAGGAAATGCCCCAAAAAATTTCAGTCTTCAATAATATTTAAAGGTGAACAACTGCAATAAAAATGGGTAATAATATTTAAAGGGAATGGCTAAAATAAAAAGGTGTGAATAAAAAAAATTAGTGCAGGTGCACACTGTCAGCCTATGGTGACTATATCTGCAAAATTCCACACCCATTCCAGACTGTTCTGAATAAAGCTAGAAGTTGTCAAGAAAAGATGGGAGCCTGAACGGATTTATAGTTTGGATGTCAGATCCATAAAAGACTTAATTCCATTATAAAGTCTATGATAATCTTAATTTTTGTCTGAAAGGTTCAGGTAAGATCACGTACATTGGTCTTTTGTTTTGTGAACATTTATTTTAAACAGAACTAGGGTCCTGTTCCAAATTTGTTTACTTAACTGATGTTTGGATGTCTGTTCAGGGACCAATTCATATACAGATCATCCTCAATACTACAGGAGTTATGCTTACTATGGCCCGCTGCACCCTTGAAACATTTCAGAGCAAAATTGAAGATTCCTTTTGTGACACCTTTTGAATAAGATGAGAAGACAAGTTTGATCCTTTGAAGTATATTATGTTGTACTGGCTTTGCAGGTTGCGCTCTTTTGAAATCTTCAAAGAACATATCACTCTGTTATTAATCAATTTTTTCATCTGAAACCCCCTCTAGACCAATCAAATTACTTTTGCTTAATTGCTTCACTTCTGGGGATGCTGGGGATGATATAAAAGATAAAGGCTATGTTAGCCTGAATTTTTAACTGAAAGGTTATGGGTTCAATTCCAGTGGCTGATCCAGATAAGATCATGCATATCGGACTTGTTGTTTTGCAAATATATATGTTTATCATAAACAAAACTATTCTAATTCCCAGTCTTTGACAACTGGTTTACAGTAACCAGAATACCAGTTTATAAACTTGATTTATTTTACAACAATTGCGAAACAAGTTATATCAACTTATACTAATCACTCTTGGCCCGAATGTAAGTGTAGTATCCTGGTAAAACCCACGTGGTAGGGCAGCTGAACCCTTACCTTTTCACGTCCATTCTGGGAATCGAACCCCGGTCGGCTAGGTGAAAGGCGAGTGTGCTACACGACCACCCTGAATACCAGTTTAAAGAGCCCATTTTTTCAGATCGTTTACTTTAATTGACTGAACATGATTACAATGTAATTGAATAAAACACAAACAATTTGTAATTCTGTATATGTAATTCTTTTAATAGATGCACTTAATTAACAACAAATTTGAGACTTCTGACGACTATTCTTTCATTAATATTTCACTCTCCTCCTCCTGACGAAGATACGGATATGCAGCCTCAACATTCTGAAAAGAAAACATGATGCAAACACTAATTCTAACAGTGAAATTTAAGAAATAAGACAAATTTCTCTCGAGCTACATCTCTGATTTGTGAAAATCAGTCATTGGAAGACTAAAAGAATTTCAGTGTCATATCATGAATTGTTCTAATCCTGAACACATATCCACAGACAACCTACACATATGATTATTGGCAAATCATGATGTTTTAATGTGTTTTCCCACTATTTTCCTTTTATTTCAACAGTTTAATTGGTTCAAGTTTATATAGAAGAAATTTCCTTGACAATTATGCATATCATAGAAAAAAATGATTGTATGCGAGGTGCCTGTCTGCTACACTTGGGTTTAGATAAGACATAGCCAGCCACTGTACCGTGTGACCAGTCACCTAATTCAATTTCTCACCATGTATAACTTCCACTCAGGACATAGTCACCATTGACCATGATATTGTTATGAGTGGTGCAGCAGTTTGCAGTGAAAATTTACAAGAAATATAATATACAACATATGATATTATGAAAAAATCTGCCCAGATATGATATTTAATATTGATGAGGAATAGGGAGAGAGCATGCCACCCTCCCTTCCCCCCTGGGGACATACAACTTACCAATTTTGAGGCACGCTCATCAAGTAGATCAAATGCCCAGTGATGTAGCTGAAATACAGAAGAATGTTACAGGGTAGTCGTTAAAATAAAGGTACTACATGCATGTTATCAAATATGTTCAAAATTACATTGTGCAGGACTACTTCTTTTGGTGAAGGACAGAATCTTACTAGGTTTCTTCCTTTCTATATCATATCACACATGGGAAACTATTCATTATCAACACAAGTTTACAAAAACTTGTACAGATATTTTGCGGAAATCTTTCATTATTCATAACTGATTTGTGAATGCTCTATGTTCAACAGTAACTGGCACATTTTTAATGATAAATGCTTTGTGGTAGTGAAACAACAGGTTTCCCTTTGTCAGTATAATGTGACTGGGTGGGATGTGCTGATAAGGCCTTCAGCAGTACACAAATGTACTAGAGTAAGCTAGCTTTATAAAGTTGGCTTCAGTTCTGCACTATTACAATTACACATACCGAACCCTCCCAAAAAATGCATTTAACACATCCATTCACTCTGCATACACCAGGAGGCTGTCCTTCAATTGTCCCTTGCTGTTGATTGGATGTTAATTAATATCCATTAACCAAAACCAAAATATATTCCTCTATACAGGGAGCCAATTAATACATACCTTCAGAGGGTGCGGTATAGCCAAACCCTGAACTCTGTGTAACATCCCATAGCCAGTCATGATGGGGTGAATCTGTAGAAAATCATTAATGACAGTCGCACTGAAATTTTTGTTCATTTGTCATTTTTTTACATGGCATTTGACAGGTTTACAGGAGTAATTAGCAACAATATCACAGACCCTGAGCCATCAAGAAAACTCTTACCAAGAGACTCGTACTGATAACACTGAATGTTACTGGATTCACATAAAATACAGACTGACCAAAGCCAGGTTACTGATAAATATTTGTTTAAGCTTACAGATGAGGATAACTTGTCTGGGTTTTTGAAATTTGGACATAATATCCTGATCATAAATATATATATTCAACAATAAAATAAGTGATGATGAAACACCAAATTGTCAATATACAGTAATGGTGATTAATATAAATTAAAAAATCTCAGCCTTTCTACCAATGGATCTGCTTTAGCGAGCAGATCAAGTCTTTATAGAGACATTTAAGTCTGTCAGTGGGATCAAGACCCATACACTGACCAAATATTTTCCTGACTAATATTACTGTTTATACAAATCACTCTGTATACTGACCACTGTGTCCCTGTATACTGACAACTGTGTTCTTGTACACTAACCATACTGACCACTGTGTTCCTGTACACTGACCACTGTGTATCTGTATACTAACCACTGTGTTCCTGTACACTAACCATACTGACCACTGTGTTCCTGTACACTGACCACTGTGTACCTGTACAATGACCATACTGACCACTGTGTTCCTGTACACTGACCATACTGACCACTGTGTTCCTGTACACTGACCACTGTGTATCTGTACACTGACCACTGTGTCCCTGTATACTGACCACTGCGACCCTGTATACTGACCAGTGACTCTATACTGATTGCTGTGACCCTGTATACTGACCACTGTGTCCCTGTACACTGACCACTGTGTCCCTGTATATTGACCACCGTGTCCCTGTACACTGACTACTGTGTCCCTCTATACTGACCAGTAACTCTATATTGATTGCTGTAACCCTGTATACTGACTATTGTGATTATGTATACTGACCGCTGTGACTCTGAAGTTGGATATATGCGAGGTAGATGACATCAAAGGACCATTGCTGATGTCGATGTGCTCCCCCATTCGATACACTTTCACGTGTGATTTACTTTCGGACTTTGAGGCAATACTCGGAATCTGTTGAAGCTTATATGGATTATCCACAAACATCTTTTCCGCAAGAGCTACGTCCACGTATAGAGGTTCAAATGGTAACTTCTGTGCACCAAGTCGATATCCAATTGCACTCAAGCCTCTTAACACACTCTGGGAAAAATCACATGATATCATTTCAAAACAGTGCATTTATTTACAAGCATGGAATTAAACTAAATTCTACATTCTTCCTTTTGCCATCAAATTTATTTTCGTAAAGTTAGTACAGCAGAACAAACTGCGGGAAAAAGTAACATTTTTAATATGAAATAAAGTCAGACAGTCAGCAGAAAATAATCTACTGGTGTCATGTCAAATACAATCTGATGAATCACTTTGGCTACTAGAAAATATGTAATTCAAGTTAATCTCAATCATCGAAGTCATCGGCTCTAATTACCTACAACATTTATATAGTATGGAAGTTTCTAGATTGTCTACAGTGGGTACTCTACCAACATTGATATAGTATGGAAATCTCTAGATTGTGTCTTCAGTGGGTACTCTTCCAACATATATATAGTATGGAAATCTCTAGATTGTGTCTACAGTGTGTACTCTACCAACATTTATATAGTATGGAAGTCTCTAGATTGTGTCTGCAGTGTGTACTCCACCAACAGTTATATAGTATGGAAATCTCTAGATTGTATCTACAGTGAGTACTCTACTAACATTTATATAGTATGGAAGTCTCTAGATTGTGTCTACAGTGTGTACTCTACCAACATTTATATAGTATGGAAGTCTCTAGATTGTGTCTACAGTGGGTACTCTACCAACATTTATATAGTATGGAAGTCTCTAGATTGTGTCTAGAGTGGGTACTCTACCAACATTTATATAGTATGGAAGTCTCTTGATTGTGTCTACAGTGGGTACTCTACCAACATTTATATAGTATGGAAGTCTCTAGATTGTGTCTACAGTGGGTACTCTACCAACATTTATATAGTATGGAAGTCTCTAGATTGTGTCTACAGTGTGTACTCTACCAACATTTATATAGTATGGAAGTCTCTAGATTGTGTCTACAGTGGGTACTCTACCAACATTTATATAGTATGGAAGTCTCTAGATTGTGTCTACAGTGGGTACTCTACCAACATTTATATAGTATGGAAGTCTCTAGATTGTGTCTACAGTGGGTACTCTACCAACATTTATATAGTATGGAAGTCTCTAGATTGTATCTACTGTGAGAACTCTACCAACATTTATATAGTATGGAAGTCTCTTGATTGTGTCTACAGTGTGTACTCTACCAACATTTATATAGTATGGAAATCTCTAGATTGTGTCTACAGTGGGTACTCTACCAACATTTATATAGTATGGAAGTCTCTAGATTGTATCTACAGTGAGAACTCTACCAACATTTATATAGTATGGAAGTCTCTAGATTGTGTCTACAGTGGGTACTCTACCAACATTTATATAGTATGGAAGTCTCTTGATTGTGTCTACAGTGGGTACTCTACCAACATTTATATAGTATGGAAGTCTCTTGATTGTGTCTACAGTGGGTACTCTACCAACATTTATATAGTATGGAAGTCTCTAGATTGTGTCTACAGTGGGTACTCTACCAACATTTATATAGTATGGAAGTCTCTAGATTGTATCTACAGTGGGTACTCTACCAACATTTATATAGTATGGAAGTCTCTAGATTGTGTCTACAGTGAGAACTCTACCAACATTTATATAGTATGGAAGTCTCTAGATTGTGTCTACAGTGTGTACTCTACCAACATTTATATAGTATGGAAGTCTCTAGATTGTATCTACAGTGAGAACTCTACCAACATTTATATAGTATGGAAGCCTCTAGATTGTGTCATTTGTAATAATCACCTCATTTATTGTGTAGTCTGTGGTAGCAGTGCCAAGATTTGCATCATACACAAAACTTCCACTTCTTACTGGAAAATAGGAGAAAACACCACAAAATTATAAAACCTCATCATGTGAACATATCTTTTGTTGTCTAAAGAATGCATGAATCAGACACCATCATGTGTCATTTTGTACCAATTCTCTTCTTCAGTGGTTAGCGGTTAATGTCTCCTTTATATGTAATACAGAATTATAAAACAAGGCTGTGCTGGACACTTATCATAACATTATGTACCTCAGTCAAATCTAAACTGTTGATTACATCAGCAGATCAACTCACAAATATAATAAAAAAAAACTTTGTTTACCATTTGGACGAGAAAATGAACACAGGTCCACTCGGATATCTTCCTTGAAGCCCGTCTCTAAAATGTGACCAAGTACAAATGACATGGAACGCCAAAATGTCTGAAAGAAAAGAAATTAATTACCAGTTATAAACAATTTGTTTTAACTTTTGTTGCTGTATATCACACATTTAACTATCAACATACTTGATCTTATTATTTCAAATTTCAGTGCATTATCACTTTCTGGTTATTTTAGCACAATGATGTATTTAACTGCTTATCCAGAATAATTACTATATAAACAATATACAGAAACTGCAAACTGATGTAGGTCAAAGGTCAAAATGTAGATCAAGTCACTTTTGATATGACACACACTGTCTCAGCCAAAATGGACCCATATCCCAAGCATAAAGTTTTGGTCACAGTGACCTACTTTTGATAACTCACACCTTAAATGTTAAGATCCTGTGGTTAGTATTGTAGATGATACAGACAAACTTTTTCTTTGATGTAGGTGAGACTGACCTACTTTTGATAGGCATCACACCATCTCACTAAGGTATATCCCTAGTATTAATATTTCACTGATTAGTTGTGTATCAGATTGGGGGGGATGGACAAGATAGTGGAAGGATGGAAGGACACAATTAACCAAAAACCAAAGATAGAAATCCTCCATCTGATTACAATGGAGATTAAAGCTGTATCTAGCTCAAACTTCAGTCTGATCATTGTGACCAAATAGCGGCTCAATATGTCTCATAAATTTTAACTAAGTAGACAACTGATTCTGTAAAACTAAAGGGTTATCCTGATTCAAATCAACATTCATGCAAACGTCGACATAAATCAATTCTTTACTGAGAAAAAGGGATTACAAACTGATGGAAGAACAGCCAATTGAGAGATTTTCACACTGATGGACAGAAAACCAACAAAAAGATTTCAGACTGATGGATGGAGGACCAACAGAGAGATTTCATACTGATGGATCGAGGATCAACAGAGAGATTTCATACTGATGGATGGAGGACCAACAGAGAGATTTCATACTGATGGAGGACCAACAGAGAGATTTCAGACTGATGGATGGAGGACCAACAGAGAGATTTTACACTGATGGATGGAGGACCAACAGAGAGATTTTGGACTGATGGATGGAGGATCAACAGAGAGATTTCATACTGATGGATGGAGGACCAACAAAGAAATTTCATACTGATGGATGGAGGACCAACAGAGAGATTTCATACTGATGGATGGAGGACCAACAGAGAGATTTCATACTGATGGATGGAGGACCAACAGAGAGATTTCATACTGATGGATGGAGGACCAACAGAGAGATTTCATACTGATGGATGGAGGACCAACAGAGAGATTTCATACTGATGGATGGAGGACCAACAGAGAGATTTCATACTGATGGATGGAGGACCAACAGAGAGATTTCATGCTGATGGAGGACCAACAGAGAGATTTCATACTGATGGAGGATCAACAGAGAGATTTCAGACTGATGGATGGAGGACCAACAGAGAGATTTCATACTGATGGATGGAGGACCAACAGAGAGATTTCATACTGATGGATGGAGGACCAACAGAGAGATTTCATACTGATGGATGGAGGACCAACAGAGAGATTTCATACTGATGGATGGAGGACCAACAGAGAGATTTCATACTGATGGATGGAGGACCAACAGAGAAAATTCTGACTGATGGATGGAGGACCAACAGAGAGATTTCAGACTGATGGATCGAGGATCAACAGAGAGATTTTGGACTGATGGATGGAGGACCAACAGAGAGATTTTGGACTGATGGATGGAGGACCAACAGAGAGATTTCACACTGATGGATGGAGGACCAACAGAGAGATTTTGGACTGATGGATGGAGGACCAACAGAGAGATTTTGGACTGATGGATGGAGGACCAACAGAGAGATTTCATACTGATGGATGGAGGACCAACAGAGAGATTTCAGACTGATGGATGGAGGACCAACAGAGAGATTTCATACCAACAGAGAGATTTCATACTGATGGATGGAGGACCAACCGAGAGATTTTGGACTGATGGATGGAGGATCAACAGAGAGATTTCAGACTGATGGATGGAGGATCAACAGAGAGATTTCAGACTGATGGATGGAGGACCAACAGAGAGATTTCAGATTGATGGATGGAGGATCAACAGAGAGATTTTGGACTGATGGATGGAGGACCAACAGAGAGATTTCATACTGATGGATGGAGGACCAACAGAGAGATTTTGGACTGATGGATGGAGGACCAACAGAGAGATTTCACACTGATGGATGGAGGACCAACAGAGAGATTTTGGACTGATGGATGGAGGACCAACAGAGAGATTTCGGACTGATGGACAGAAGGACAGATTTCAGAATAACACCTCACCAGGTCATTAATACTCACAATTCCTGATAACTACAATTCCACTACATTGCAGTAAAACTTTTGTCTTATTAGCAATTTGGATTACTTACATTATTACTAGCAAATGGTTTTTTTTCCAAGAAATGTAGAAGTTCTAAAGTACAATCTTCTTCAAGAGGACGGTGCATATCCCACAACTGACCGTTGACTTTCGCCACCACTGAACGATCCATCAACAATTCCTGCAGGTCTGTACAAAATAATGGAATATTTTGTTCTTTACTATGACAAAATAGGATATAACCTTTTTAAGCAGACAAAGAGAATTTTAAAGCATATTTTATTTCAAAAAGTAACACCCAATATAATCATAATGTATATTTGAAAGACGATTAACAAATAGGAAAAATACAAAGCAAAATAACATGATGCCCCACTTATATTAACAGTGACATACTGTCAAAATCTAACCCCCTACCCAGGTAATTTAAATCTACAAATAAACTATTTCCTATTCCATCACGTTAGAGAATTTAATTACAGATTTAGAAATTGAATTTGAATAAAAAAAAAGAATGAGCTTACGCATGGTGCAGTGATACGGAGTTGATAGTCCTTTGTTCATGATCAAGGTGCATGGCTCAGGATGGCCTTCATATTTCACCTCTATTTTCTCAATCCGTGTCACCAGTGAAAGCTGTCGAGCCTTCTCTTCCTCAAACAGGGCATTTCTTTTCTTTCTTATTTCTGCATTTGTCAGCTTTCTTTGAGAATAATATCCTATCAATACAAAACAACAACATAAATGTTTAAGATCAATAAGTCTGGGAACATTTTTGTGCACGTGAAAGTGATAATTTCTTTCAACAATTATCATTTGAATGCCATCCCATGCCCAGGTTGCCTATTTCATTCATATCTTAAAGGATTGGAGTTCTCATATCTGATGTCAGACCACATTGAGTGGTCTTCTTTAAAGTTCTGCAATCTAATAGAAATGTCAAGTTTCAAAATTCAGTACAAACATACTACCTTTGCATCTATCCATATTCTAATGGAAATTAAAAGTAAGGAAACCATGTGACTTAACAAGATCTCCTAATATTCAAACTTTTTCCGCAAAGTTATGATGAATACTATTACAAAAATAAACCAATGGAAAATTAACACACACATCAGGTTTATTTCACTTACAAAAACTAATGTTCTCATGTAACTTTTGCTGTTTTTTAATTCTAAATACACATACCCATCAAAAGAATTGAAGTGAAGATCAGGAAATTCTTGTTTACATTTAGCTATCTGTCTTTCTGACTATATAAGATATGTGACTTAAGATGGTGTGGCTAACACAAACATAGGTTAAAACAGAGTAAGGTGTGGAACATTCAGCAAGTGTATTGGTATTATGAGACAAGTCTTGTTTTAACATTTTAAAGAGCAGACCTCTCTGTCAGTGCACAGATAATGACAATTTTGTCCACAATTATTGTTTAAATGCTAAAATAACAATTTGGACTTGTTAGACATATATCCTGTTGTTTTATCTCATATTCAAATGTGTCTTGTCAAATTTCAATGATGTATATGCATAATAAATGTAAATGTGTATTAACTTGTTTACTCCATTAAAAATATTTTGATTACAGAATTTGAGTTATTAACTGTCAATACTTAATCACCTATAAGTACAGGTGAAAATTGCCAATTTAACAGCAGGATGACTATGACTTTTGTAATATATACATATATTACATATCAAGAATGCAGCTCTCCAATACCACAAGTGCAGTTGTGTTAAACAGATAATTGTTTTACAAAACTGGAAACAGTACTCTATGGGGAAATTATCTCACTCAATCACCACTGGAAAATATTGTAATGAGATCAAGCAGCTAGGTCACAGAGATTAGAGTTACCTCCCTTATATGAATGTTCAAAAAGATTTCGTAACGGTGCAAGCTGTATCACACTTTCATTTGATTAAAACAACTTCAGACTATTCCAGGGGTTACGATCACTTTGGCTCTCTTGCTCCCCTACAATAGGTCATGGCAAAATTGAAGGCACAAGTGAAGATTTTTGGTCGGTCTTAGGAGAAGCAATTCTGACCAATCACTGGTCAACATGCGCCTTTCAAAGATTACAAAGGAGTGACATGCAACTTCAAGAGTTCTAGGCCCGGTTATAACCAGAACAAGGACGTTAAGTTCCAAAAAAGAAAGAAAAATGCAACTTCAAAGTCAGTACAACAAACTGTCATGTGACCTCAAGATTCATTTCATGTACATCAAAGGAACCTGTCCACAAGATGGAACCTTCAATTGTGCCATGAAATGTTCCAGGTGTGCAAAGAGTGAAAATGGTTGAAAACCCTGGAATATCAAGTATGGTTTTGACTTCACAAATACAAAAAATGTACTCTGGTACCAGAAGAGTAACATAGTGTATAACTAATAAGACAAAACAAGACAAAATCACGTTATAAGAATTGACAAACAAATACTAAATGCAATTTTTAAGATTTTTAGCAATGCATTATGACGATTACAGTATACTGTATTTATGCATTGTTTAAGACCAAATCTTCTGTTTCAGTAATCATAAAGCTTAACTCTTTTAAGGCTTTGCCTTTTTTAATAAATGTCTAACTCGTCAAGTCAAAGTATCTGAATAGCTTCTTTCTGTCATGTTATCTTTAATCTGGTAAAGCTTCAGTCTGGTACTGGAGCATCGGTAAATCTGACAATTAAGGTAGATTTGGCTACAAATGCTAATTTTGGTGAAATTCAACCAACTCGCTGGAACTGATATCCTACCAAATCATTAGATTCGCCGTCCATTTTTTCGATGTGTACACCATGATCGCGACCAGGAATGGCTTACTTGTTTACATTTGCCCTCTATACGTAATGGCAGATTTGACTTTATAGCTAAATCTCCCTATATAACTAGATTTGCCGGTGCTCCAGTTCCTGTCACAAATCACTCATGTAATTTATCACTGAGGAGTCGTGTTGAATATCTAGTACACACGAAACTTACTACAAAACGTTTTATCCAACGGACGGATCAGCCTGTTAGAGCAAAGTTTCCGAATAGACATTTTCAGCTAGATCAACACTAATAGCAGTCCATGCACGAAAGTCGCATTCACATGGAAAGAATTAATTATTGTCATTGTTATCGATATGCTTTGGAGATCCTCACAATATTTTAAACGCTCACTTGATCCAGATCAGGACAGGGTGGAATGTTGTACACTGCTCTCAAACCCGTATTAAAGAACATAAACGTAATTACCTTACAATTTTGCAAATACGTTATACGATAAATACCATAATAGAAATCTAATGAAAATGTGTCATCTGTAAAGCCATAATATATGAAACTTTATCCTTTTTTATGAACCATTTATTGGTCATGAATTCAAAAAATTAATTGTAATATTACAACGCAATTATTTACTACACGAGTTATTCCCCTTTAGTTGAAACTCTCCATCAATGTTGACAGTTGTGTTTGTGCATCCGTGAATATTCAGTGACAGACCCTATACAACTTATCTGTAGAGAGAGCAAATCCTGTACGCACAATGGAAAACGACGAAGACGATTTGAAGAAAAGACCTTCAGGTACCAGGGAAAATATTTTTGTTCCGCGTTGTTGGTCTAGAAACTAATGCATCCACATCCAGTCCGACTCGTCTATTCGTGTGCAAACCATTTCCTGTGACAGAAGATCAGTCATGATCAGTTGACTGACAAAAATTTAAGAATACGTTTCTGTTTATATGATATTTTCAGACCTAATTGCTTGGTATACTTTACCTTTAATTTTGGAGGATGTTGATGCAAAGTTTTCATTTATGACCCTGTGGACATTTTTTTTCTATGAATTTGTATTAGCTAATATAAGACATACCGTGACAGGTTTGTTATAACATCATTGCGTGAGCGCATGATAATGTTGTGCAATATTAGTAGTGTTGTTAAGGCATGATGGCCTCAATAATAAATCTTGTGGCGGATAATAAACCAAATCTTATTATCTATTCATGATTAACAGCAATTTTACACAATAGCATATTAATATCCTGTTTCTTTTATTTTCCCCCAAGGTTTTATTTACTGTGTGAATTTTAAATACTAATGATAGTCAAGTTGTACCTTTATAAAAGGGTTTACACAATTTTTTTTTATATTTTGGAGCTAATTTCTTTGAATGGTTTTTAAGCTCAGTCACTCACATATTCCATCGATGAGGTGTTTTGTGTTTATTTTCAAACAACATCGTATTGAAATGTTCTGGTTTTGTTGCATTTGAGTTGCAGTTATATAGAAATTAGAATAATGATTTGACACAAAAAAATACTATAGTTCTTTATTTTTCATTTATTCAATACCTTTCAACAACAACATAAATCAATACATGAACATCTTTTAGAAATGTTACTAGGTCATTATACTCATTTTATTCACTCTTTTCACATTAGATGGCGTGTTGCTGCAGTTTAAAAATAAATATAAAGTTCCCTGCGCTAAAATGCTGTTTTATACACAACATTGTCCTTACAAAGTTTAGATATATAAATTCCTCAGCACTTATCATGGAGCACTTGGTGAAAGAAGCCATAGCCACAGCCTCAGTACAATGCAAGTCTAGTCTGCTTAAGTGGTGTATTGATGACATATTTCAAATAATTAACAAACGATCACAGAAAGATTTGACTGAGCATATCATTACCTAGATGCCACTAACAGCATCAGTTTAACCTGTGAGGAAGAAATCAATGTTGCTATGCCATTCCTTGAAACTCTATTAGTAAAGAATGATGAAGGTACTATCAAAATATTGGTCTATACAGAAAAGATGCCCCTTACACCAGAAGTTGGGCGTTGCGTGAATCTCACTCAGCAGATTTGAAACAATTATCACAGGAGAACAAGACAAGAAGAAAGATCAAAATCACATCCATAGCACCATGAAAACATGTGGATACGTTGTTTGGGCAATCCAGAAAGTAATAACAATGAATTCGGTTGAAGCAAAAAGAGTTAGAGACAAAACACCAAGGAAAAGGAGAAAACAAGAAAGGACAATTAGTCATCCCTTACATCAAAGGCCTGTCAAAAAAGTTGATAGATTCATTACTACAGAGATGCTACAGTGTCTGTTTTCCTTGGCAGTCAGACATGTGGATTATAAATCAGTGTAGCTTATATGTGGATGAACAAAAATGACAGAATGGACCTGTGTGACCTTGCACCCTGGTCATTTTGGTTGCTGTAACGTGTCATGCTTCCAGAAAGAATAAATAATAGTGATTTCAATCAAGGATACCAGTACGAAACGTTGGTATCAAGGTTTTCATGAGTACCTGTACATCACATGTTTGTGACTGGAACAGATCATGTAAAATCGTAATTTGCAAATGTATGCAGGGTGATTTTAAGATTGAAATGAAATAAAACATTCTCAAGTTTTTAATTTATCATACCTTTTAATATGAATCACAATAATATCTTCTGAACTTTTGTGAAGCCATTGCGGAAGTTTACAATAGCCTGTTGCATCCTGGGATCGATAGATCATTGAGTCAAATTCTAGAATGACCGCCATGCTTGTTTACGATAAGAATGACTTCATGTAACTTACAAGAAATAATATGGGACTAAAAGAATTTGGTCAGAACGCAAGGGCCTTCGTTAGTATTCAACAGTACAGACACCAATTGATAGATTGTTTCGTAAACCATACATAATATCAGTCCCTATTTCTGTTCGTAGACAATCTTTGAAGGCACCCAAGCCAAATGAGTTTGATAAATGTTATTTTACATTTTTTCAAACACATCAATAATTCACCGACAATCTTGATAAATTGCCCTTTGTTGTCTGTTATATCAACAAACTTTGGTCAACATAATGGTTACCACATCATAAGAAAGCATGCAGTTATATTCCTGTGCAGCTTATATGTGGATCAAACCGGAAAAAAATCACTGAAAACCAGCCCTGAAGCTTATACTTGGGTGTGATTTATAGCCCGGAAAATACAGTAATCATCGAAACTTCACACTCAAATCTTATATTGGTTGTGTTATAAGAACTTCTTTTCCACTCCTTTGTATTTCTGTGTACATAGCGCATACTTACACTATCATTCAGTTTGTTCCATTCAAACAGTGTTTGGACAGATTTAGAGTTTAGAGAAGGAACTTTTGTATGTTACTTGTTTGTAGGATTAGTATCCTAATCGTAGGTCAATAATATTTATCTAATTTGATGTAAGAATGAATATTGCTTCTTTTTTTATTACAGAGGAACTTTTGTCTCCATCATTTTCACCAGCCAAGCTGAAGTTCCCAAAGCATATTCACACACCAATGGATGATAAGTTTAAAGAACTTGCAGACAAAATATTCAACCGTAGTGTTGAAGGACAGGTGCCCTTTAACGAGGTTTCTGCCCCATATGAATTAGGCAGTTATCCCATAGAACAGAATGAGACTAAGAATTATTTTGAGAGACAGTACAGTAGAAGGTGAGTACAGCATTCAAACTCAGATATTTTACTTTTGTTTTTGTCACATTAACACACATAGCTTTGATATGTGATGTCTTAATCACTTACATATGCTACATGATGAATTGTCAAAGGCAAGAAGATTGATTTTATGCGATATGTCTCGTGTGTGTATGATAATGAACATATATCTACAATGTTGTGCTCACCTGATCTCATATATATTTTTTTACAATCAGTGGCCAGTGTTTGTTCTTTTTTATATATATTTGATTGATTTGCCACTTACTAACTCTAAATTGATGACTTAAATACAGTTTTACTCCCACTTTGCTTATGTTGTGTGACTTAGTCTTGGAACTATAATACACTTGCATTTTTTGGGGGTGTTTCTGTGATACAATCAAATCAGGAGTGTGCAGAATCTGTTATGGAACACACCCAATGTGCAGAAGTGGGTAGAGCTGATTACTCACATATCTTGTGCACAAAACATTTTCTATTTCCATGTCGTTGTCTTTACTCCTACTTTTTCATCTGTTATAACAATCTGGCATATGTTTTACAAAGGACAGCGAACTACTGGTGATGGTTACGAGATCTGTTATTAAGGTTTGAATAAATGGTACATGTGCATATCATCTGGCCCTTCTTCAGGAAAATAATGTTCTATTTCTGAAACAGGAAATTAAACCTGAACATACCAAAGGAATCTGAGGGGTAGGTAATTAGAAGCATTTCAGCAGTGTTCACCATGTTAGCAGCATTTCACCAACTTTCTTGTCCTCGCGTCCCACCTCCTTTCTCACCTCCTTTCCTACCTACGCTTTACTTCTTTCCACTCTTTCAGTTTGGCAATTGAAACATTGGCTTTTTGTTGCTTACTCAAACAGTAAAACATGTACTTAAATAAAGAGAGATAAATATTTTACCATGACAGACTTGAATTTCCTACACAATTTCTGTTTTAATTTGAATACAACCAAGTATGGAAAATGCAAACTGGAATCCTATCTGTTTATAGTATGCATATGTTATATGTTCATTAAGCAGAAGTCATCTATAGACAATCATTTGTTTATTTAAATTTGTTATGCAGATAACATTTTGATATTTGTATTTTAAGATTGCTAAACAAGCACTGAGGTTCTGTATTAGATCCTATCTTAAGCCTGAGATATATGTTTTTATTTCTTTCTGGGATTTTTTCAAATTTTTTTATTTCAGATAAAGTTTTGTGGAAGGAAAATTTACCATTTATAGATAAAAAAAGACAACTGATTGATCACTATAAAATGAAATTGGAGTTGCTGAAATGGCCTTCAGTGCAGGCATTTACTATTCAACCCATAATATTTTATCATATAATTGATTGGTCCAGGTCTAGTTATTAGTGATCTTGATATTCAGTTGCAGTTCTACAAGCAATAAGCTCACCAAATATGAATTACACGTTAGAAGTTACTGTTAGACCTGTAGGTTTTATTGCAGGTTAAATAATTATAGATAACCATATTGTTATCACATATGTCTTCTTTGTTCTCATACTGATTTGTAACAGGTATTTGGCCATAACAGCTGGGTGAATATAAGTTGTAACCATTCTACATGTATAGTTGTATAACAGGTTCTCTATTATACAGGTTGGTTATTTTTGCAGAGATGATATTTTCACTAATTTTCAGAGTAATAACATGATCTCAAAAATTTGACCTGTGAAATGATTAATGATATCCTCAATATAGACCACTTGTACAAGTCATGATCAAAGGGGCTGTCAAAATATTGGCTAAGTCACAATGCAAGGCCACCTTGACAATGTAAGGTGACACAATATTTTTTTTTTTGCAGTTTGAAATGCTATAAAATATTATTTGTGTTGTGACCCCATATTCTGCAGTTGTTTGATTGCTAAATATAATAAAACACAAGTATTCCTCTATGGTACTCAATCAAGATTCTTGTTTTATTTCTGAAATGATGACTTTCATAGGTATATGTTTGCCACACAGTCTTTTTATAGACAGGTTATGGATTTTACATAGCCTGAGTGACTTTTATAGACAGGTTATGGATTTTACATAGCTTGAATGACTTTTATAGTCAGGATATGAATTTTACATAGCTTGAATGACTTTTATAGTTATGTGACTTTTGTAGACAAGTTATGGATTTTACATAGCCTGAGTGGCTTTTATAGACAAGTTATGGATTTTACATAGCCTGAGTGACTTTTATAGACAAGTTATGGATTTTACATAGCCTGAGTGACTTTTATAGACAAGTTATGGATTTTACATAGCCTGAGTGACTTTTATAGACAAGTTATGGATTTTACATAGCCTGAGTGACTTTTTTTATAGCCTGACTTTTATAGTTATGGATTTTACATAGCCTGAGTGACTTTTATAGACAAGTTATGGATTTTACATAGCCTGAGTGACTTTTATAGACAAGTTATGGATTTTACATAGCCTGAGTGACTTTTATAGACAAGTTATGGATTTTACATAGCCTGAGTGACTTTTATAGACAAGTTATGGATTTTACATAGCCTGAGTGACTTTTATAGACAAGTTATGGATTTTACATAGCCTGAGTGACTTTTATAGACAAGTTATGGATTTTACATAGCCTGAGTGACTTTTATAGACAGGTTATGGATTTTACATAGCCTGGGTGACTTTTGTAGACAAGTTATGGATTTTACATAGCCTGAGTGACAAGTTATGGATTTTACATAGCCTGAGTGACTTTTATAGACAGGTTATGGATTTTACATAGCCTGAGTGACTTTTATAGACAGGTTATGGATTTTACATAGCCTGAGTGACTTTTATAGACAAGTTATGGATTTTACATAGCCTGAGTGACTTTTATAGACAAGTTATGGATTTTACATAGCCTGAGTGACTTTTATAGACAAGTTATGGATTTTACATAGCCTGAGTGACTTTTATAGACAAGTTATGGATTTTACATAGCCTGGGTGGTTTTATAGACAAGTTATGGATTTTACATAGCCTGAGTGACTTTTATAGACAGGTTATGGATTTTACATAGCCTGAGTGACTTTTATAGACAGGTTATGGATTTTACATAGCCTGGGTGACTTTTGACAAGTATGGATTTTACAAGTTATGGACAAGTTTTACATAGCCTGAGTGGCTTTTATAGACAAGTTATGGATTTTACAAAGCCTGAGTGACTTTTATAGTCAGGATATGGATTTTACATAGCCTGGGTGGTTTTTATAGATAAGTTATGGATTTTACATAGCCTGGGTGACTTTTGTAGACAAGTTATGGATTTTACAAAGCCTGGGTGACTTTTATAGACAAGTTATGGATTTTACATAGCCTGAGTGACTTTTATAGACAAGTTATGGATTTTACATAGCCTGGGTGGTTTTTATAGATAAGTTATGGATTTTACATAGCCTGGCATATCAATATATCTGTTAAATGATAGAACAGCTTAATAGAGTTTTGTGATAAACATGAATTTTATATGCCTTCATCATACCAAGATTTCTGTACCCACATCATTTTGGATCCATAATATATAGTGTACAATAAATTTTAAACATCACAAAACAATTATTTCAATGTATGAATATTGTTGCAATCATGATTAAAGCTGACATTTGTGTTTTAGTTTTAGTTGAATAAAAAAAGACCTTTCTTTATAATCTGTGCACACATAGGCCCCACACACTTTGAATAAAGAATTTGCCCCAAGTCTGTATTTGTGATTAATTTCCCTGGATATAAAGTATCCTAGACAACCTGTAGCTTTGCTGTAAGTGAAATCAATTGTTGATGTTGTTACTATAGAAACACCTTCCTGCCAATACATGTATTGATAACCATATCAAAGTGGAACTCAATTATATAGGCATGGATATTGATCATTATTACTGACCAATAATATGTTATGTTAAAGTTAAAATGCTGGTGACTTTTTTTTGTTTGTCAATATGTAATACATCAAATTGAAAAAAATAAATAAATAAAATTACCGTCTAATGCTTCAAAGAATCCAGAAATATATGAAGTACCTTTATTGTGTTTTGTTGCTATTTTTCATGCTAAATTGAGTTAAGTCATTAAATTGCATTTTTTTTCTTTTTCCAAAGAAGCCAGATTATATTAATTTATGTTAGCACTTGTTGATCTAGTTATACACCCTGCTCAGATTTTGAACTTAAGATCTGTAACAGATTTCATTTTATTGGTTTGGTTATGATTTATATATATATTTCATGATAAGTCCCACCAAGAGGGTGCTTACGAAAGCAAATATAGTTTTACAATGGCTGTAAAGACACATCTACATTATAAGACAAAGTGGCATTGCTACATATGATATTTAAAAGTAACACATCACAATGTTATTTTAAATATATGAAGTATACATGTACCTGTATTTGATCTCATTGAAGCATATAGTAGTACACATGAAGTAATACCTCCAATATACCTGTCCAGACATTCCATAAGATATATGATATATATGCTATTGTTACTATTTTTACTCTATTACTGTTACTGTTTTTAATAGGATGATAGTGAACACAGGCATTTCTGCCTCTGTATTCACATCAATACAATGTATTACAAATATAAACATAATATTAGACTAGATATAAGACGCTGTATGATCATACTTCAGTTCAATATCTTTCCAGAAATCGTCTAGGTGTTTTTCAAAATCATGAACGTTAAGTGATGAAATTACCCATTGAGGGAGACTATTCCAAGTATCAATTATTCTTTGAGTAAAATAATGTTTTCTGACATTCAAATGACAATGTTTTTTAAATAATTTTTTACTTTGTAAACAAGTTTTTCTTTGCGCTGCAGGGTTGAACATTACCTTCACCAGCTTTGGATCAAATATCCCATTATTGTTATTATCATTGATATTTTCTCCTTTTACACACAATTTAGAGTAGATAGGTAAGCAACATTTTGATTTCTTCTTGCATCATGGAATTTTATAGGTTAGAAAATCCAGGCACCAATTTCTTAAAGAAAAACCTGTCAAGACCAGGTTAAAATTTCCTGATGTTAAAAATAAAATAAGATAGGGTTACTTAAGATTGGTATATAAACACTGACTGATTTTTCATTGAATGTACCAGAATTTTATATACTTTGAAGTTATAGAATAATTAAAACGATAATTATTTAGAAAGTGTTTCAAATGAACACTTGAACATGTTAATTAGCATCAGCAAAAAGGGTGTGTATTTTAATTTCATTTTTGTCTTACTTTATGTTTTGATCATGGAAAACAAATTGGTGCTAATCATCTGTTTACTACTAACAGTGATCTGTCTTGCAAGACTGGAGATATCAAATATGGAATGTGTTGTCATCACTAATACTATGAATGCAAAATTAAACAAAAACAAAAAAGTATATATGATCAGATAGTCTTTATTGTTTATGAGAAAATAATAATTTGAATTGTCTCCCTTAGATTCCTTCCTTGCATAATTTTGAGTTTTATTGGATTGTGTAATGATTAGATATGTACTATAATGGAGTGTTTCCCTTTGGTGTGTAACATATTGGAATTTTCTCTATTAGGATAATGGTTAAAAGATAATGATTTGTTATGAATGAGTTAGTTCATGAATCTGTAATATTAGTGAATTATCTCCCTTTGGATAATGGTTTATAGATATTGATTTGTTATGAATGAGTTAGTTCATTGCTCTGTAACATCACTGAATTATCTCCCTTTGCATAATGGTTTATAGATAATGATTTGTTATGAATGGGTTAGTTTATTGATCCTAAGAATGTTGAAAAAAGTTCCATTTTAACACAGATATTAATGATATGTCAAAAAACAGAGGCAGTGCATGCATGCTTCCAAATAATGACTTTCGCGAAAATTTTGACCACTATGGTTGCAGATTACATGAGACCAAAGGAAATCTGAGGTTGAGCTGTAACAGAGATCACTCTGCTGCAATATTTACCCATGCTTTTACTGAAAATGTTTAACTCATTGTTTGCTATATGTTTTTATAAATAAATCTCATCCACTTTTTCCAAAATGCCAAATTTCACCCCGGATAATGATAATCTAGGATTATCCTAGCTGTAAGCATCTACCATTGCTTTATTTCCAGTTTCTCTACACATTCAGTGTTCAGGCATTACAAACAAGTTACCAGAGATACTTGAATTCAGCTACAGTATCAAAAAGCACAAATAAAGTATCTCTTTAATGATAGATATGGAATAGTTGTCTCCGTTGGATGTGAATATTAATATTGGATTCATTGGCCTTACAGATGTTTTGCATCAGATCATCAGCTAGTTAATGAGAGTGAGGATGGTAAAAAGTGAGTCACACATACACATACAATCCTTGTATATCTTATCTTGTCACACTAAATCGCCAAAAGTCTGAAAAAAGCTTACCTGTGTTTCTGGGAATCACTGATATGGACATACAAAATTGTACTCAAATTTTATATTTCCTATAATATTTGGGCTTGGGTCAAAGATTGCAGATTGTTATGATTTGGTACAAGCATGTTTTAATCACACCTGTTAGTTGATTATAATCTTTAGGTAAGTATATCTGGAAACACAGGTAAATTTTAATGTCGCCTCTATTTATATATATATATATCTGTACACTGGTTTTATCTGGCTTTGCCTTAAATGCATTATCATGAATATGAAAAAAAGCATCAAAAAATCTTTGTGAATGTTGTTAATTTGACCAGAAATGCTTGGATATGTAAAATGTTAAACAATTCTGTAATATTTTTATTTTACTTGATTTAAGAATGATTATAACTTTGTGGTCTAGCTGGTTCCTAGTAAAAACTGGCTGACTCAGAAAAAAAAAATTGTTTTAATTTTCATTCAATTTTGAAAAATGGAATTATATTCTAAAATTCACTGAAAAACTTTATTGTATTACAATGCATAATATAATTTCATATTTCTTTTTTCACAAGACTATTTGTAGTCACAAATGTTGATGAACATTTAGCCAGATAAATGGTCATTTATTTTCAACTTGTTATTGTGAGAGAGCATGAAAATTTGGTGATCATTTTGTCTGGTTTCAATTCATTTTTCATGCATGTGCTTTTTGAATTGCATGTAAAACATTATTGTAAAATTATGGTAAACTTGTTTTTTGCTCTTTAAAAGCCTGTAGTTTAAAATCATTAGGATTATTATGATAGTAATGTTTGATATGTATATAAAGCTGAAATTTTTTTGAGTTTGTTGAATATTTAAAATGTCACCTGTCGTGGAGAAATTTTGAGGTTTTGTTAAAAGTAAATGTGTTGGAGGTTGAACTCTACATTTCTTTTTAGCACATGAACTCAGGTGAGAGCCAGGATTCCTCTGGAGTCTCCTGTTTAGAGTGGAGTATTAATATTTATCGGTCATCCACCCAGTGTTATATTACCAGCATGACAGCTAGATCCTGATAGTCACAAATGAGGCTAAATTACATGATAGAAATCAAGGAAGCCTGTCATCGTACGATGATCATTGTCCAATATCAGCTGATAATTCCTGTACATTTTATATGTGTTGGAGCTGATCGTGATGTACAGCAACTCACACTGATTAGCATGTAGATAAATTTCATGTATATATATCCATCAATAATTAATTAACTGGAAGGCATTGACTGCACATTACGGTAAATGTGCTCACATCATGATTACTCAAAATTAGATTTACTTGACATTAAGAAACATATTTTATCTATGTATGAAGTATGGTTAAAACAAAAAATGATAGAATAAATCTGTTTTAATTTCTAGAATATTTGTCGTGCAGGGCACAGCTTTTAATCAAACCCTTCATTTAGTCTGAATGAAAAAAAATAACCATATTTGGTCTATTTAAGACAAGAAATAACTTGCTATTAACACTGTTCTTCAGGAGTCTTGTTAACAATTACAAGAGGTGTATATAACGACAAACACAACATATCACATTTACCGTATGTATGTACCATCATTACACAAGAAAATTGATACTATATGCTCTCAGTAATCAAGTGAGACAGTTCTGGGGATAATTCTGTGTAAGGTTTATCAATCGGTAATTACTTTCTCATGAATTAGTTTCCGTCTTCATTATTTGTGGCTGTAGACATTTGACGATAAAGGATTATCATAATAACACTACAGTTCGTGGTGGCTCTATTGTTCCTTTTTGTAAAAAAAGGGAAAAAAATGAATATTTCTTTTTGAATCATATCAGTTTATCAATTGACCTAATTTTTTTTGTAAATTAGAGGATGAGTCTGTTACAAGGTAGAATTGGGCTGATTTCCTCATCAGTTACTACCTACATATACATGAAGTGGGTTTTTTTTGCTTCCTAGGTAGAATTTTTTGGAAAATCTAATTATTCTTATTCAGAAATTTGGACAGAAACAACTTTTTTAAACGGTTACGTTTTATTAAAACAGAAATATTTTGTGAGTTCTAAGGAAAGGGATGAAGGATATTGATGGACTTATATTTGGCCAGTGGTATGTACCAACTTTTATAATATATATTTATTCTACAGATTAAGTTCAGTAACTGGCTTTCTTCAAAGTGAGTGATATTAACTGGTAATGAATCTGTGCTGTAAACTATAATTAAATTGATTGTTCGAGAAAGAGGTATTGCAACTCAACTTGCACATTTTTACCACCAAAAAATTTATTTTGTCAATACATTTCCTGATTCCGAATGTTAAGTGAGATATTTGAAGCAGTTTATCACCTGAGGCCATAAAGCCCCCTTATATGCATCACTTAAGTTTCTGAGAAAACTGTCCATTTGATTTTTAAGGAAATATAACATTATATATAAGCTCTGTTGTGTCTTTTAAGAAACACTTTTAGGGAATACAGAAACGACTAAAAGATATTAATAAAAATGGGCCTCACTGAAAATACAAATCAAAGTTATGTGAGATTCAGAAGGCTGCCAGGGAAAAAAACATTTGACCACTCTGTATATTCAAATGTACATCAGATAGAAAATACTAGATATGTAAAACACATTTACATGTAAAGTGTGATGTTTTCGTGACAGCAAGTCACAGGTAGAATACACGGATATAGTGATTTGAGAGCTCGCTGTGCGATCATGAAATCTCACGGAAATGTCTGAAGGATTTTCTGACTGGTAACGACTGTAAATGGAGAGACATTTACAAAGAGCAGATTTCAACATTTTTTGTTGTAATACAAATGCACAATTATTGTCTAGAGTATCTCTCAGATAAGTTAATTTTTACTTTATTGATATAATTGACGTATTGATAGTATTTTCTTTTTGATTATTTAATGAAAGTTTTGTACGTTGAAGATTTTAATTCGTCAACATTGTGTCCACCTGTGGTCATCAGTTGATAGCGTCATGGTCAAGCTTTTGATTGCATTGATCAAATGTCATGAGTTTTTGTTTAGCATGGCCATTTTGTGCGAAAATTTTGATAGTATCTTGATAATGACTATAGATAGTGTGTTTTGTGATCATGTATAAATATTTTGGGAATATCTGTACATGCTGGAGATATTTTGTGATTATGCATGTATTGATATTTGGGGAATGTATATTCTGCACGCTGGAGATGGTAATTGCATGGCTGATTTATGGTTATGGTCCTACAGTTAGATTTGAACAAAATGTTATAATTTTTGTATCATTTTCAGGAAAGTTCTGTCTCAAAATTTTGAATTTAAGTGCTACTTGGATAATTATGGTTCAAATAGTATTCATCTATAATTACAGAAAATTGGAACTTTTAGGTAAAGTGTAAAGGTTGACATTATTGAGGAAATCTTTTTTTACTCTGTTTGTGTTTTAAGTTAAGTTGTAAACAATAAATAAACAAGGACATGTACAATTACCGGTATTGCTTGAAAATAAAAATAGAAAAAATAAACTCAGTAAGTTTTGTAGAGTTTTTTGTCAGGTGTGTTCTGAACATCATTTCTGTAATTCTAATGAACCCCATTACTAAGAGATTTAGTCCCACAGGAAAATCATGAGTTCAGGACTCGGATATATCCCAAAAGTCACTTAAACTATTGTCCATTTCTTGACTTATGTGAAAAATTAATTCTTTTGCTTCAAGCTTTTGGTAAAATCATGACACAATTTGAAGCATTGAAGAAAAAATATGATTACCAGTGTTTAACAATGATAGATTAATTCACATAGTGATATTTATAATATTGACATTAATTAACAGATATATTTCCTCAACGCAAAACAACTCGTAGAAGGACTAGAGTTATTTAAAAAATCTTTCAAAATTTCAAAAAAATTATATTGGAAAATAATGATTTTTATTGTCTCCTAGGAAGTAGGAAAATCTCATTTAAAATTTAGAACAACATATGATAAGGTTTAACAGAGTATGAGAATTTGATCATTAGGAAGTCAATAGATGGAAAGTGCTCTGACCAAACCTTTTGAACAATAATAAGCATTTAATATTAAACATGTAAATAATTATCCAAAATGAGGTGAAATAGGGTATTTTCCTAATAATTGAAATGATGGAAGAGAAGAAAGGTTTTCTGAGCCCAATCAGTTTCAGTTGTATAAGTTAGTTTTGTAAATAACCTGTTCCTATTTATCACAATGCCCGACCAGAGTCTGATATAAATTTGTATTTTGTAACAATGATTTTTGCATAAGTAAATTTTTGCCATTTCCCAAACAAAATTCTATCACCAAGTAGTTTGATCCTATATATAAATATTATATTGGTCTGTCTGACATATTAATTAACCATAAAAGGAATTTTTGTAAACTTTAGATTTTAAATTTGTTATGGTCTAATAAATTTATGCATGATTAGTTTGGTTGAAATACTTGTTAACCTAACAAGAAAAACATTTAAGAATTAAAGAAGTCAATATTTTGGTGAATCTTATTTGTGTCCAATTCCAAGGCAGATATAGAAAACAAATATTAAAATCATGTTAGAAAAACAAAATGTGATTTATTCTTTATAAAATTTGTATTAACCAATGGCATGTTACTGTATTGGTTCCAAAATATAACATTACATTATGCCTTGTGTTGTAGTGGTTCTGCACGGAGCCATGAGCGTGACAATGGAGGACATGCCCCAATTAATCGGGTGCCAAGCACGGACGTTGAAAATGTATTTATGGAGTTTCCTGAGGTACAGGAGGAATATGACCTCGCTCCTGATTTCCAGAGAATTAGCATCAGTGGGGAGGATACGAGTGGGGTAGGTTGTCTGTCACTGTCCGTCTGACTGTCCGTAATGGTAATTAGTACTATACTTATGTGGGGATTCACACAATTATATCTGGAATTTGTGAAGATATCTTAAATCATTGGATGAACCCATTATACATGAGATGTCTCTCCTGCTGAACTGTTACACAAGTGTAGTATAAATATCCTCTCCTTTCTGAGGTTACAGACTTCTTGACAGACAGCCCTACAAAAACAGACAATATAAAATACAGTCAAACCCACAAGTAAAGGATATCAATTGATGCCCTACAAAAATACTCAACACAAGTCCTGAATTGTCATGTGTAATATACAGGAAGGTGGAAAATAGTGAAAAATATTATGTAATGTTTTACTGAATTTTCCTATTTTTTTGTTGCTTGCAACTTTGTAGAAGGATATATAGTGTTTCCCCAGATCTATTCATTCTGTCCAGTTGTCCTGTTCCTTATGTCATATACACTCAAACCTCTCTATAAAGGTCACTTACTGGAGCACAGAAAAGTGACCTTTATACACAGGTGGCCTTCATATAGAGGTTATTGTGAATGGCATTACATAGGAAACAAAAATAAGTGGCCTCTCCAGACAGGTGGTCTTTATCACAGGTCTGATTTTATACGGTATCTTGTAAACCTATCAATAGATTTGGTTCATAAAAAAACCCCATAGAGTCATAACATAGTTCTACACTTGATCTTGTTCTGATTTCCAAAGGCCAAAGGAGCAGACAGTCATGTTTCATCAACATTTTCTATTTTTTACACTCTGTGAGAATTAATTCCGTGATTGCTCTAGGTTCCCCTGAAGGACTTGGAGCAGGCCTCCAAGAGTTTAGTGAAGGCTCTGATGATCCGGGAGAAATACATGGCCATGTCACATCAGAGTTTCCCAAACATCACTGCCAGATTTCTACAGAACCTTGAAGACAAAGAGGACTTTCACGGCATCAAGGAAGGGTACGGCTGTACCAATGTCAAGACTGCAGAAGGTATGTGTGGGCAAATTGAGAAATTATCTGATCATATCTTCAAGAAAAATTACTACAAAATATTTATATCATTTTGAACTGAATAATAAAGATAAAAATAGGATATTCTATAGAAGTGGTTATAATTTTCAAAACTTATTACAAATCATAAAAACATTTTTACAAGTTATAAAGAAGGATTTTCATTGTATGTTAATTTCCGTGTTAAACTGAAAGATTTTCTTATGTGCATGATAAGTAAATGTCTGCTTAAGAAATTTCAAATTTTTTAATAATATACTTACGAAAATGTGGTATTTCTGTCCGAGCTTGATTCTTATTTTTGGCTGGATAAAATTAACCTGTTGTTGCAAGCTTTTCTGTGGTCATATTTTGTTGTAGAGAAGGACACGGCCATGTTTGTGTCGTGGCCATGCACCGGTAGGACAGAGATTTTAAATCTTTGCATTTTTTCCCTAGTGTGATTTTACTTTTTTTGTAACAGCATTAAACACACCTTTTGGCAGATTGATTTTGTCAAAATGAATAACTGCATTGATTGACCTGACTGTGTTTTTGGAAATGGATTTGCTATCTAGGCTATTTTTTGAAAACTATTTAAATGTTTATCAAGTTATATGCAAGAGTGTTGGTACTGATATATGTATTCTAAAGCTTATCTTTTTAGAGACAGATTTGACAGGTTTTCAGTTTCAGATTATAGTTACTCTGAATAGTTAAATTGTTTTTGCAAAATTGATTAGATTTGCACAAAATTGACTTTTCTTTGTAAATTGCTATCAGGTGGTCAGATTATCTCCCCTGACAAAATTAACATACACTATCTGTACATTAAATGACTGCCTATGTTCACTGCTATTTTAAACTTCATACAGAATCAACGTCAGGTAGGTGACATCCACTGAAACTTCATAAAAATCACCTTTTGCCTATCCAAGTTTGTTTTAGATTCTAGTAAAAATATTACTATCACTGTGTGCTGGTTATCTTCTTAAATTGTTATAACATTTTAGGAATTAATCATAACCATCTCAAGGAATTAATCATAATATTGAAACTTCTCTTAACTTTAACATCATGTCCCACTTCTATGAGGTATTTGATATCTATACATGACAGGTCTCTGCTATCCATACATGTCCTTTGTAAGGGACAGGTCTCTGCTATCAATACTTTGTGAGGGACAGGTCTCTGCTATCAATACTTTGTGAGGGACAGGTCTCTGCTATCAATACTTTGTGAGGGACAAGTCTCTGCTATCAATACTTTGTGAGGGACAAGTCTCTGCTATCAATACTTTGTGAGGGACAAGTCTCTGCTATCAATACTTTGTGAGGGACAAGTCTCTGCTATCAATACTTTGTGAGGGACAAGTCTCTGCTATCAATACTTTGTGAGGGACAAGTCTCTGCTATCCATACATGTCCTTTGTAAGGGACAAGTCTCTGCTGTCAATACTTTGTGAGGAATGGGTCTCTGCTATCAATACTTTGTGAGGGACAGGTCTCTGCTATCAATACTTTGTGAGGGACAGGTCTCTGCTATCAATACTTTGTGAGGGACAGGTCTCTGCTATCAATACTTTGTGAGGGACAGGTCTCTGCTATCAATACTTTGTGAGGGACAGGTCTCTGCTGTCAATACTTTGTGAGGGACAAGTCTCTGCTATCAATACTTTGTGAGGGACAAGTCTCTGCTATCAATACTTTGTGAGGGACAGGTCTCTGCTATCAATACTTTGTGAGGGACAGGTCTCTGCTATCAATACTTTGTGAGGGAATCTCTGCTATCAATACTTTGTGAGGGACAGGTCTGCTGTCAATACTATATCCATACATGTCCTTTGTAAATCTCTGCTGTCAATACTTTGTGAGGGACAGGTCTCTGCTGTCAATACTTTGTAAGGGACAAGTCTCTGCTATCAATACTTTGTGAGAGACAGGTCTCTGCTATCATTACTTTGTGAGGGACAAGTCTCTGCTGTCAATACTTTGTGAGGGACAGGTCTCTGCTATCAATACTTTGTGAGAGACAGGTCTCTGCTATCATTACTTTGTGAGGGACAAGTCTCTGCTGTCAATACTTTGTGAGGGACAGGTCTCTGCTATCAATACTTTGTGAGGGACAGGTCTCTGCTGTCAATACTTTGTAAGGGACAAGTCTCTGCTATAAATACTTTGTGAGGGACAAGTCTCTGCTATCAATACTTTGTGAGGGACAAGTCTCTGCTGTCAATACTTTGTGAGGGACTGGGTCTCTGCTATCAATACTTTGCGAGGGACAGGTCTCTGCTATCAATACTTTGTGAGGGACAGGTCTCTGCTATAAATACTTTGTGAGGGACAGGTCTCTGCTATCAATACTTTGTGAGGGACAGGTCTCTGCTATCCATACATGTCCTTTGTAAGGGACAAGTCTCTGCTATCAATACTTTGTGAGGGACAGGTCTCTGATAGCAATGTATGTCCTTTGTGAGGGACAGGTCTCTGATAGCAATGTATGTCCTTTGTAAGGGACAGGTCTCTGATAGCGATGTATGTCCTTTGTGAGGGACAGGTCTCTGATAGCGATGTATGTCCTTTGTGAGGGACAGGTCTCTGCTATCAATACTTTGTGAGGGACAGGTCTCTGCTATCCATACATGTCCTTTGTGAGGGACAGGTCTCTGATAGCAATGTATGTCCTTTGTAAGGGACAGGTCTCTGATAGCGATGTATGTCCTTTGTGAGGGACAGGTCTCTGATAGCGATGTATGTCCTTTGTGAGGGACAGGTCTCTGCTATCAATACTTTGTGAGGGACAGGTCTCTGCTGTCAATACTTTGTAAGGGACAAGTCTCTGCTGTCAATACTTTGTGAGGGACAAGTCTCTGCTATCCATACATGTCCTTTGTGAGGGACAGGAGTCTAATAGCAATGTATGTCCTTTGTCAGGGACAGGTCTCTGATAGCAATACATGTCCTTTGTCAGGGACAGGTCTCTGATAGCGATGTATGTCCTTTGTGAGGGACAGGTCTCTGCTATCAATACTTTGTGAGGGACAGGTCTCTGATAGCAATGTATGTCCTTTGTGAGGGACAGGTCTCTGATAGCAATGTATGTCCTTTGTAAAAGGGTTCTTATATCAAAGTGAAATTCATCAAAATCCCCTAATGGCACAAGCTGATTCCCAGGGGTCATCTGATATCCTGTATCAGTTAGCTTTGGTAACTTGATAGTGGAAAATCAAGAGAATTATCAAGTTTGATGTACATTTTCTGTATATAACATGTTAAGAAATCGAAAAGTTTATCTTTCAAACCCATTCAAATAATGTTTTTTTAATTAAAGCTAAATGGAGAAAATTGCTTGTGCTCAGAAAAACTTGATTAAAAGATGTTAGCATCAGCTTTGAATGTCCAAGTCTGCAAAAACGTATGATGTATGGAAATTAATTTTCTCAGTGTAGTGATTATACAATTTTGTCATTGGATATAACATAGTGAGGTGACCGAGGACAATTTTGTCAGAGGTCTGTCGTTTATACCTACGTTGATGTCACATGGTTAATGCTTGTGGGAAAGAATATGCTTGCTGTTCATCTCCTGTCCATTCATTCCTCTTTCCATTCCAAAGAATCCCTGGGCAATAAGTAACATTTACAAAGCTTACAATACCTTCACTCACATGTCATTCAGCCTAAAAATATAGTTATGGAAATGAAAACAGAGTTAAATCCCTTTGTTGATAACAGTGTTGTCTCCCCTTGCATCAACAATCCTGTCTTTGTGCAGATTTTCAACAGACTGGTTTGAAAAATCCTTTATTATTCAGTATATTTATAATTATCTCAGCAATAGTTTGGAAATGAGAGATTAAGAGTGATGTGCTGTAGCGTTAGTTATAAAGACTTCAACTGGCAGATTTCAGTACAGCGAAATTTTATCTTTAGTTAAAACCTTCAACTGGCATTATTGAATACAGCTAAATTTTATCATTTTGTAGTAATATCATTATTTATTTCATTTTCCAGAAACTCATAATTCTTGAACAGAAGACTTACTGTATAGATTTATAAATGTTAGTGTCCACCTAGCTGTGAAGCATTAAGTTACTCGTTGATGGATGGGTTTCAGATCAATAGAATAACATATGATTGGGAAAAGGAACACATTTTGCTCACCTGGTCCAAAGAGCCAAGTAAACTTTTGGCATACCATGGCATCTGTCGTCTGTCCATCCGTCAGTCCATATGGTCATCAGTCAATTGTTTCTACAAATTGCTACCAGTCATGAACAGCTAAGCTGATTTTGACCAAGTTTTTTCAGAAGCATCATTGGGCGAAGGGGAACAAATTTTGTATAATCGGTGGGTATAAATTCCCTGGGCGGGAAAGGAGGGTTCAATCAGGGAAATAGAACAAATTCTTTAAAATCCTTCTCCTCCTTTAGGAATGGTAAGATTTTGCCCAAATATGGTCTGAAGCATTGTTGGGGGAATGGGAAGCAGCCTAGTAGGAGATATAAGCAAATTCATTGAAATCCTATTCCTACTGAAGGAGTGATTGGATTTTATTCAAATATGGTCTAAAGTATTTCTAAATAAAGAGTAATAATTTCTGCATAAAAAGTACACTCAGGCCCCTTTGGTGGGAATGGTGAGGCCCAATTGGGGAAATGTTAGTTCTTAACAATCTGTCTTCAATACAAGGATATTATCCAAGTTCGATCTGAAGTAAATTTTATGTTTTACCACAAGGCTTAGACCCAATAGGGAAATTATTTCAGAAATTATATGCCGTATTTAAATTTTTTTTTGTTAAATGGCCGAATTGCTCAATTAGCTAGGTAAGCGATACAGGCACCTAGGGCCTGTTGTTTAGGTTTATGGCTTGATGTGGTGTGTTCTATATATCCAGAGTATTTGCTTGCTATGTATTCGAATTTGATCGTAATGTAAAATTAAGCTCATTTGAATGTGTATTTTGATATATGTATGTATTTTTTATATAACTCCTTCATGTCCTTTTTTAATATTTAAAGAGGTAATTTTTTTTGAAAAAATTTAATGCAATCTTGATCCTTTTAACTTATTTTAAGGTTATTTCAATATTGTTTTTGTTTTCTTATATACATGATTAATTAAAGAATGATATAAATGATATGTATAGCTTTGTATATGCAGTATCTGTCTTTCCAAGCAATAAAGCCCATTCTTGGTAACAAGTAAATCAATATTTGTTGCAGTTTAGTACATGTGTGCTAAAAATTATATTCCAATATTCTACAATAAGCCATATCTTTATCATATCTACTCTATAAGTAATAAGCCCATGTCTTTATCATATTTATTCTGTCAGGGATAAGCCCATGTCTTTATCATATTTATTCTGTCAGGGATAAGCCCATGTCTTTATCATATTTATTCTGTCGGGGATAGGCCCATGTCTTTATCATATTTATTCTGTCGGGGATAAGCCCATGTCTTTATCATATTTATTCTGTCAGGGATAAGCCCATGTCTTTATCATATTTATTCTGTCAGGGATAAGCCCATGTCTTTATCATATTTATTCTGTCAGGGATAAGCCCATGTCTTTATCATATTTATTCTGTCAGGGATAAGCCCATGTCTTTATCATATTTATTCTATCAGTGATAGGCCCATGTCTAGAAACTAAATGTACAACTGTTTATCAAAATTTTAAATTAATGCTATTTCCTTGTTCTGTTATAAGGCCATCCCCGATATAAAGTAAGAAATAATGTGTTTGCTACTTGGGCTTATTGTAGGATAATAGCAACATTACATGCTAAATGTGATATATTGTTCTATTATATCATTATTATCAGCTGCTGACCATCCAATCAACCCACCGCCTATGTCTGGAGACCCTTTCCACATTAAAGTGATACCAGAGAAAGTTGGCTGTGTCATTAAGATGAAAGATGGGGTGCCTTATGTTTATAAAGACCAAGACGCATTCGAGAGACAAGAGCCGTTTGAATGGCCGTATCCTGATGTGGAAAGTTTTGTTGCCGATCAAAACATGATGTATGCTTTCATCAGTGATGGCCCTTTGTAAGTACAATTATCTAAATTTATTGCAAACAGGTTCCTTATAAAAATTTAAGTGCCTTGTAGCTCTTGAAGCATATAAGAAACCGCTATTAACACCTACTATGTACTATTCTTTGTGCGATGTTACCGTACTGTATGTTGAAATTTTTACAGGAAGTCATTTGCCTATCGACGTCTGAGTTACCTGTCTGCAAAATATCAGCTGCATATTCTGCTGAATGAACTGAAAGAATCAGCTGCACAGAAAGAGGTTCCACATCGCGATTTCTACAACATACGTAAGGTAACAACACAAAGACACAATTAAGTGAAGATGGGATTTGTTTTACGGCAGTCTTTTTATAAAGTTTAAGTTCAGCTGGATTCATGAACAAATAATGCTGGAATATTGATAAAAGCTTTTTGTATTTAATCTATAGAATCAGTAATGAAAGGCTTAAATGTATGGTTGGACATTCTCCAGGTTGTTTGTTTACAATCAGTAGGCCTGTACCACGTCCTGCTGTAATTTACCTTATTTTACCGCAAAACTGGGTGGGGGGGGGGGGGGGCTTATTTGCGGTAAAATACGGTAAAATTGATAAGATGAAGCAATGGTTACTTCCAGGTATTTCCTGGTTGTGTGCGAGAACAAACATGCCAGTTGCAATATGTCTTGTCCAGAACACTAAATAAAAAGCACAGGTTAATCTTTTTGTCACAAACTATACTGAAACACACTTTCCTGTTACAGGTGGATACCCATGTACATGCATCTTCCTGCATGAACCAGAAACATTTGTTACGATTCATCAAGAAAATGATTCGCACACGTTCTGAAGATGTGGTTTGTTTGGATAAGGACAAAAAAGAAATGACCTTGAAACAGGTTGGTATGAAAAATTATCAGCATAACTGGATTGTTATCAATTATCACAAATTTTCATGAAAAAAATTTGCAATTAAATCTTTTTTTAATTTTTTTTTCTGCAACTTAAATGCATCCTATAATTGTTACTTCCTTCATGAGTTTTTTGATCGTTGGATTAAGTTCTTCAATAGTGCTTCATGCAATCTTCTTCCTTAAAATTCTGATCATCAGCTTTATACTCTACTGAAATCTGGTCTTACCAGACTAAACAGACATTTTCTAGCATCACCCCACCAAGGTCTACTCCTGATTAAAGAAGATTTTGGTGGTCAAGTTCAAAGGTCAGACTTGACCAATTTTGTGATAAAAAAAAATTTTACGTCAAGATATCTCATGAACGTCTGGACAGATCTAATCTGTATTCACAACAAAGAATCACCTCCACCATGTTCTTCACCTCTTTTTCAATGGTCATCAGTCAAAGCTCAGCTGATGGTCAGAGGGTACCCTTGACCACTTTTGAAATGAAAAAGCTTTTTATTTTTGATAATATATGTATTCTTATATATTATTGTGATATTTAGTCCTGGTTTACATTAGATGTTTATTAGGTCTTTTTGTAGGGAGAAATAATGTGATTAAACAAAGACAAATCTGTAAATTCTGGGTCAATAGCATGATGGTTGAAAGAGAAAATCCTAGAGCAATAAGTTAGAGAAAAATTTAATCCTTGTCACGGTTGGGGAGGAGGATTTTTTCTCCCCATAATTGACGTATATAGGACATTTAGAGAATTGGTCTGGTTGAACTTAACAAAATATTTACGTAATGTATTCATTTATATCCAGACCTTTGAACCTTTGTTACGAGAGAATTTTTCAGAGACTAAATCTCTGTTATTCAAATACTGCAAATTTGTATTTTGAAATTGGTTCTATTTTCAGCATTAGGTTTGAAAATATCTTGGCTCTGTTTTTGATGACTCAGTTTGTTTTTGATGTTGATATGTTGATATGTTTGTAATATTTTGGTGTTATAACATAATGATTCATGAATGTTCAAAATGTTTATCAATTGTGCAACATACAATGCAGAGATTTTAATTTACAGCAAAAGAAATCAATTTAATGATAAAAAAATTATCATAAAAACATATATGTGTTAAGAAAAGATCTTAATGATAAGTTAGTGTTGTTTTTGCAGGTGTGTGATAGTTTGAAGTTGACAACCTATGATTTAAGTGTTGACAAGCTTGATGTACATGCAGTAAGTTCTACCAGACCTGAGGGACCAACAAAATGTGTTTTACTATGCTGTTTAGTTGCATGTTTAGAAACTCTGACACCAGATCAACTCTGTATACTATAGAAGTAGATATCAAATGGGACACACTATTCAAGCGCAAGTTTTTTTCAATTTGAAAAATTGATGAGATCGTTTCCACTTTTTTTAGATATTGGTCAACAATATTGACTAAATAAATGTTTCTTTTTTCAATTTTATCGATTTATTCCAAAAAAGATATGAGAAGAGTATATGTAGGTTGATAGACGTACTCATCGTTATACAGAGCTGATCAGCTATTACACAAACAATAACAGTGGAACCTTGTGTTTTACTTCATAAATCATCATTTTCCAATTTTTTGATTTATTTAAACAAGTATTTGAACAGCTTTTGAACTTATTTAAATTTTCAGCCCAATGAATTGGAAAAGTTTTAAATATACCAATATATTATAATCAGGCAATTTACTGTATCCACCCTTCAAAAATCCTAGGGAGCAACGATATAGATTCTGAATCTATTTATTATCATGCTCAGACTTATTGCTTGATTCTACAGAATACAGAAATTATCTGTGTTTGTGCTGAAGATAAATTTCAGCACACGTCGTTTCAAATTTTTTACAGCTTGAATAAATGCATATTTGATGACCTTGTTCTTGGCATGTACTTAGAAATTTCTTACTATACCACTGATGCAGGGTTCCACTGTTAACTGTCGTTAGTGTATGCATGTTCATGTTCTTTTTTTTTATCTCATACCTTAAAACAATCTTTACAGCCCATCCTGCTGTTCCCCAGGGTTGGTCAAAGCGGGATTATTTTGGTTTATTAACAGCAAGGGTCGTTAGGTTGTGCCAGGTTTGGGAAGGTGGAGGAAAGCTGGAGTTCCTGCAGATAAACCACTGACCTGCAGCCAGTACCTAGCTAGTCATTAGCGAGTGTAAATTACTTATCCACCCGGAAGTAATTGATAAAAATCATTTAAAACACATTGTCCTCTTTATTGAGTTTAACAGCAATAGGGGATTTTTTATTATTTAAGATTGGTGATGATAGTTTACCATGAGTTTATTTACTCCAATGTTTACTACATCTCAACATAATATTCTTGAAGGCAGTCAATATAGTTAGAACTAGTTAGGTAACACAGTGAAAAAGCACAGTATCAGAATAGGCTATACAATAAAGCTTGTTACAAGGCAGCACATGAGGGATTACACTTACTCCTGTGCCAGCTTCTTTATTCACAAAACTTTCTACCCCTCTATTTCGTTCTCAGTCATTTTTATTTAAAGTTTTTTTTTCAGCAGTTGCTAATCAACTTTTGGGTTGCAGTTTGCAGTCACACAAGATGAAGATATGAGCATGAGATATGAGGGGAGATAACTCAAATTTATCAGATTTAAATTCTGTTGGTAATAAAAAATTGATAATTTCAGGTTTTTGAGAGCCTTGATCTGGAGCCATATGATTTGAGTGTAGACAAGCTGGATGTGCATGCAGTGAGTACCGTGACTTTATGGCTGATGGCCAGGGGAGATAACTTGATCTATAGAAGTGATATGTAATCATTTTCAGCTCTCCTGGTCCAAAGGGCTTTAAAGTCTGAATTGGTTTTCACCATAGATCTGAAGCATCCTTTGGTGAAGGGAATCAATAATGTACAAATTGTTGGTCTCAGTCCCTAGTAGTGGGAATGAAGCAAATTCTGTAAAATCCTTCTACTTCTGTATGAATGCCTGGGTTCTGTCTGAATTTGCTCTGAAGCATCTTTGGGTGAAGTTTTGTCTGAACACTGGGCTTCAGTCCCCTGGGGCATGATGTGTGTGGCCCAAGAGAAGGGGAATAAGCAAATTCTTTAAAATCCTTCTCCTTTTGAAATGTTTCAGTTTTGTTCAAATTTGTTTTGAACCATCCTTGGGTGAAGAGAAGAACACTCAGTTTTGTTTAAACAGTGCATCTGAAATAATCTTGACAAAACGATTATGTGAAGTACAGAATTGATTGCTTTAAATGGAGTAGGTAAAGAAGACATTGATCTTGGAAATGACCATGAGGGTTTAGAAGAGACAGTCATTTATGATAGTATCAGGGCATATTACTATTTAATAGTCAGGGGAGGTAATCATGTTAAAATTGAATCAGAATTTGGTTGTTTTAAAACAGATTTTTCTTTGATTTCCTTTTTTGGCACCTTTCTCTGGTGTCATTTTGTTGCTGCAGAAAACTTAAGCTTACTGTACTTTCATCATTATTGTAACTTGCATGGATGTTTGTATTATGTTAGTGATTTTTATATTATTCTAGATCATACGCACTTAATTATTATATAACACGTAACACAGTTTATATCAATGCCAACACCTTGGTTTAATACCAAACACTTCATACCAGCCATGTATTTAAAAAAATACTATTGTCATGCCAACAATTTGATGGCATTTTCACAATATCTTAATTTTGTTGAAAACTCTTTTATGAACAAACACCAGAAAACCTAAGTGGTACTGATGTTTATATGTATAATGGAGTGTAGTTATAGAAGTTTTGATAATCGTTAAACATTCAAGTTAATAAAGATATCATATTCTGCTGTAATTACGAAGATTTGAGTTGATATCAGAACTACCATTGTTTAAAACTTTTATACTGCTGTTCACACTTACATTCAAATTGTGGCCTATGACCTGTCCTTGAAAATCAAAATTTTTCTGTTTTTTTTCTCTCTAGGACAGGAACACTTTCCACAGATTTGACAAATTCAATGCCAAGTACAACCCAATCGGGCAGAGCCGTCTGCGTGAAATCTTCATCAAGACTGACAACTATATTAATGGGAAATACTTTGCACATGTCATAAAGGTATATCATCAATTAGCTTTTACATGTGATACAATGGTATAACAAAGGGGGATAAAATCTCTTTGTCTGTCCATCTATCTGTCTTTATAACTATCTGCCTGTTTATCTATTGTCTGTTTATCTATTTATCTGTCCATTTATCTGTCTGTCTATATGTGTCTGTCCATCCATGTCCGTCCATCCATCCATCCATCCATCTGCTCGTCCGTCCGTCTGTTTATCTATCTGTCTGTCCATCCGTCTGTTTATCTATCTGTCTGTCCATCCATCTGTTTGTCTGTCTATCTATCTGTCTTTTCATCTTTCTGTCTGTCTGTCCATCTGTCTGTTTTTCCATTTATCTATCTGTCTGTCCATCCATCTGTCTGTCTATCCGTCAAAGATCCTTTCTAGATTTCATCATTACCTTTATGACACATAATCCAAAACAAGTGTCTGACTGTCAGCTTGATATTTGGCAGTTAGCCTGAAATAATAGTAACAAAAAAGGACTTGAAAATATGTCACTTACGATAAAGAGTCCTTTTTGGAATGTATACCAGATATTGTTATCATCAGATTTTAACATTTTATAGATTAATTATCTAAAGTTTTGGAGTGTCCATTTTATATGTACAGGAAGTAATGGAAGACCTAGAGGAAAGCAAGTATCAGAATGCTGAGTATAGGCTGTCCATATATGGGCGTTCTAGGGACGAATGGGACAAGTTAGCCAAGTGGGCTGTGGAACACAAAGTGTACTCGGACAACGTCAGGTGGCTCATTCAAGTCCCTCGACTGTAGTAAGTAACACAAAACAAATTGATGAATTGGGATGGTGAGCTTTAGGATTTCATTCTTGTCTGTTTTAGCAAGTTACTTTATACCTTGTTTAAGGTAACAGAATACATTTATCTGATATCTAGCCCAGCCAGGTAAAAACTCCCATCCATCTCTTGTAGTCTAGTAATTAATGCCAAAAAAATTTATATCATTGCCTTATAATAAGCTTTGTTTCATTGCTCAGATAATATGTTTGGGCCCCCCTCACCTTGTCCCCCACCCCTACCTCTATGCTAAAGTAGTGTGTTGGCCCTCTGGGGTCCTGCTATAAGCCCACCCCTACCTCCATGCTATAGTAGTGTGTTGGCCCCCTGGGGTTCTGAAATAAGCTTACCCCTACCTCCATGTGTGTTGGCCCTCTGGGGTCCTGCTATAAGCCCACCCCTACCTCCATGCTATAGTAGTGTGTTGGCCCCCTGGGGTTCTGAAATAAGCTTACCCCTACCTCCATGCTAAATTAGTATGTTGGCCCCCAGGGGTCCTGCTATAAGCCCACCCCTACCTCCATGCTAAAGTATTGTGTTGCCCCCCCCCCCCCCCCCCCCCCCCCCCCACCGGGGTCCTGTAATAAGCCCACCCCATACTTCTATGCTGAAGTAGTATGTTGGCCCCCTGGGGTCCTGTAATAAGCCCACCCCATACTTCCATGCTGATGTTAGTGTGTTGGTTAACAGCAGGATTCATCCTATAAGAAATAAGATTTGTATGACATGTAATTTATCCTAATGCATGCTGATTGTGTGTTAACAGTGACGTGTACAGAAGCAACAACCTGGTACAGAACTTCCAAGATATCCTTAACAACATCTTCATGCCGTTGTTTGAGGTGACAAACGACCCAGCCTCACATCCAGAGTTGTTTGCCTTCCTTCATCACGTGAGTAGCCTCAATTAGGAACAGATTAAGTCTTCTTCTATAAGAACCATGATTACAGCAAATTGATTGGATAATTCAGAATACACTTCAGCACTAAGGAAGTATTGTCAGTTTTTTTAGCTTCAGTTTAATAACATAGTACCAGTATGTGTAACATTTTCTGTCATTCAGTAATGAACAAATAAGTTTATTGTGAACTTTTATATCCTTCAATGCTCATTGTATGTCTGAACAAACAAAAATTATTCATGGTTATAAAATACTTTGAAATTCAAAGATGACTTCCTAAATATGTTTAAATATTTTTATTTTTTATACTTTTAGTGCTTAAATCAATGCACTAGGCAAACAGAAATTTCCATATATTAATCATGCTGTTTATATGTATGTTCATCAAGATATGAAAGTTGAGAAAAATAAATATTTTTTTTATTCATAGGTATCTGGATTTGACTCGGTAGATGATGAATCGAAGGCAGAACACATTAAATTTGACCCTGACACCCCACTGCCCGAGGACTGGACACAAAAGGATAATCCCCCATACAATTATTATCTCTTTTTTATGTATGCTAACATTACCGTGCTCAATCAGTTTCGCAGGTTTGTTTCTTTCTCTTACAACACATATTAAGATAAAGGTTTATATAAACTTTATTTATTAACAACAATTGCAAAACAAGTTATGTCAACTTGTTGGCCTGGATTTAAGCGTGCAAGGGGTCTTAATTTAGGAGGAAACCGGAGTACCCGGGGAAAACCCACGTGGTCGGGAAGGTGACCCCCTACTTTTCACGTCCGTTCCGGGAATCGATCCCCGGTCGACTAGGTGAAAGGCGAGTGCGTTATCACTGCGCCACCCGACCACCAGATAAAGGTTTATACTCCAATCACAAAATCCTATTCTCTAAAAGTTATTTAGAAGCATAATCACTGCCCATATAGTATTTTCCCCCTATTTATCCAGCAATAAACTTGTGTCTGATGATCTGGTAATCACATATTCCAGTTCTGTAGAAATACCAAGGTAATCATTATTGTCCTGTAATAAGCCCATGTGTCCGATTTTATTCGGAGGTTATCTGGGCTTGTTGTCGGATATGTAACAATTGGTAATCAGGTTCCTCTTCAAAAGTACTTCAATACTTTTTTTTTTTCTGATAAGAATATCATGAAATTTTTCAATCAAAATATATAAGTAAGTAAATCAGATTTTGAACTAAAAGACGATAGTTATGTCACAAACAGATTTAGATATACATAGGAAATAGACTTAGAGTAAATAGTTTTATTTGCTTACCTAAATAGACTTTTAATGTTTTAAGAGTGTTTCTTTACCAAATGACAAAAGTACCCAGTAACGATTAAAGTAAATTAATGATTTTTTTTCTAAATGAATATGATATATATATATATATTATGCTCCGTTTGAATATTGGTCATATAGAGTCTTTTGAAAATGACATGAAAAGTCGTAAGAAATTATATTATGATATTTTGAAGTTGTTTCCTTCATATTAAGTGTATCTTTCTTGATCCAGATCGCGTGGAATGAGCATGTTTCACCTGAGACCTCACTGTGGAGAGGCAGGCAACATCACACATCTTGTTTCGGGATTTATGTTGGCTGAGAACATCTCTCATGGTCTCATGCTCAGAAAGGTACAACAGATACGAATAAGATTTGATCAAAGGAAATATTGCTTTTTGTCTTTTGTGACTCATGTAAGAAAAAGTATGTACTGAATCAGACTACTAGTGTACTTACAGTGTACTATTGACTAGTGTTGAGGATTGTTCACCAGGTACTGACAATCTCTGTATATGTTGACAGGAGATACAGAGTACTGACAATCTGTAAATGTTGACATTTGATTACCAGGTACTGACAATCTCTGTATGTTGACATTTGATTACTGAGTACTGACAATCTCTATATGATGACATTTGATTACTGAGTACTGACAATCTCTATATGTTGACATTTGATTACCGAGTACTGACAATCTGTAAATGTTGACATTTGATTACCACAATCTCTATATGTTGACATTTGATTACCGAGTACTGACAATCTGTAAATGTTGACATTTGATTACCAGGTACTGACAATCTCTATATGTTGACATTTGATTACCGAGTACTGACAATCTCTATATGTTGACATTTGATTACTGAGCACTGACAATCTCTATCTGTTGACAGTAGATTACCAGATACTAACAATCTCTATATGTTGACAGTTAATTACTGAGTACTGACAATCCCTATATGATGACATTTGATTACCAAGTACTGACAATCACTATATGTTGACATTTGATTACCGAGCACTGACAATCTCTATATGTTGACATTTGATTACCGAGTACTGACAATCTGTATATGTTGACAGTAGATTACTGAGTACTGACAATCTCTGTATATGTTGACAGTAGATCACGGAGTACTGACAATCTCTATATGTTGACATTTGATTACTGAATACTAACAATCTCTATATGTTGACAGTAGATTACTGAGTACTGACAATCTCTGTATGTTGACATTTGATTACCAGGTACTGACAATCTGTAAATGTTGACATTTGATTACCAGGTACTGACAATCTCTATATGTTGACAGTAGATTACTGAGTACTGACAATCTGTATATGTTGACATTTGATTACCAGGTACTGACAATCTCTATATGTTGACAGTTGATTACTGAATACTGACAATCTCTATATGTTGACAGTTGATTACTGAATACTGACAATCTCTATATGTTGACAGTTGATTACTGAGTACTGACAATCTCTATATATTGACAGTAGATTACCAGGTACTGACAATCTCTATATGTTAACAGTAGATTACAGAGTACTGACAATCTCTATATGTTGACTGTAGATTACCGAGTACTGACAATCTCTGTATATGTTGACATTTGATTACTGAGTACTGACAATCTCTATATGTTGACATTTGATTACCAGGTACTGACAATCTCTATATGTTGACAGTTGATTACTGAATACTGACAATCTCTATATGTTGACAGTTGATTACTGAGTACTGACAATCTCCATATATTGACAGTAGATTACCAGGTACTGACATTCTCTATATGTTAACAGTAGATTACAGAGTACTGACAATCTCTATATGTTGACTGTAGATTACCGAGTACTGACAATCTCTATATGTTGACAGTAGATTACCGAGTACTGACAATATCTATATGTTGACAGTAGATTACCAGGTACTGACAATCTCTATATGTTGACAGTAGATTACCAGGTACTGACAATCTCTATATGTTGACAGTAGATTACCAGGTACTGACAATCTCTATATGTTGACAGTAGATTACGGAGTACTGACAATCTCTATATGTTGACAGTAGATTACTGAGTACTGACAATCTCTATATGTTGACATTTGATTACCGAGTACTGACAATCTCTATACATTAACAGGTACCTGTGCTGCAGTACCTTTACTATCTTGCTCAGATAGGCATTGCCATGTCACCGCTTAGCAACAACTCTCTTTTCCTGAACTACCATCGTAACCCACTTCCGGAATATTTTGCCCGTGGACTCAATGTCTCCCTGTCCACTGATGACCCACTGCAGTTCCACTTCACAAAGGTAACTTACATCTGCTTTACGGTAAAAACTGGTTTCTTAGATAATGGTCCATTCGTTCATTCTTTTGTCACTGATCCATTCTTACGTTCATCTTTTCCAAGAAAAAATTTTATTCTATTTCACAAGCTCCACATGAAATTTATCTCTACCTGAGATGGTCCTGACAAAGTGTTATTATCTTTCTAGTCAATATTTCAATATGGCTTCCATCTTGAAAAACACATTCAAACTTCTTTTCAAGTTGTCCTAGTGCCAATGAGATGAAAATTGGTGAGATGTTAAGAAAAGAAAGCTGATAAAGTATTTTTTTTCCCCCTTCAAAAGTTCAATATTGTGATTATGACAAGTCATTTTGAATCATGATTGTGCTATTATAGTTTCGGCAAACAACAACTATTTCAAACTTCTCATGTTCTGCCAGTTGGATTGAGCTTAAACTTGGAACTGAAATGATTCTGAGATGATTCGGTCAGTCTGAAATCCAATATGGCTGCTGTCTGAAAAACACATTTTCAACGTCATCTCAAAAGAGGAACGGCTTTTTGCTATTTGCTTAAATATTCTGAACTTTTGTAATAATTCAGTAATTATTGTTACTAATACTGCTGTTGTTATATATAGAAGTTGTTATAGTCAGATGACCTTTAAGGCCTACGGACCTCTTGTCTTAGTTACAGCAATGTTCTTAACGCTGCTGAAGAGATCTCCTTGAAACCTTGGGGATGTGTTCTGTAAGAATCCTATTGGCTTACTTGCCAAATTTTTTTTTTTTTTTTTATATATAATTTTTTAATTTTTGAAGATTTTCAACAATACATGAAACATAACACATCAAACATTCCACTCTAACTTGGCCATTTTCACTTAGGTACAAAGGAATGTAAATAGAGTAAAAAATGAAAGCCTGACATTAAAATTGATGCTAAAGTAAGTGCTATGTTATAGTGTACCGTTTTTAGAGAAAAGGGAAAAAATGAGCAAAGTAGCAGTAAGAGAGATGAAGAAGGAGAGGGAGGGAGAGGATGAGTATGGTGCCGGTAGGATCTGACAGGGGCTTTATTATTTTATTTCATTTTTGATACATTCAGCTAACAAAGTTAAAAAAGAAAATAATCCAAAAATTATTTAAAATTTCACTACAGAGTCTGAAGTAGTCTTTCCCATTTTCTCCATTCCTGTTTAAAATTGGTCAGATAATTTTCCCCATATCCTGTAGCAATGTATTTTTGAGTGTTATATGTATCTTGATGTTTTTTTTTCATTTCAGGAAGCATTGATGGAAGAGTACAGTATTGCTGCCCAGGTGTGGAAACTTAGTTCTTGTGATATGTGTGAGATAGCCAAAAACAGTGTCCAGATGAGTGGGTTTGGACATGATGTAAGTCATTACACTGACCAGGAGGTGGGGAGGAGACAGCTGAGATTTCTTTGTCTTGTCATATTCGACTGTTGTGAATTATCATATTGCATTATGCTTATAGTGGTACTCCATTGGAATGTAACACAAATAGTATTGTGATATCTGTAATGGAACAATTATAGTGACATGATACCTTAAAATTTATCTTTCTTTTCCTCCAAACTTGTTTTGTTAAAAATGTGGATTTAACAGTCGATACAATGGTATCATAACAATAAGTGTCCCACAAAATTAAAGAATTATTAATTAGTGACAATCTGTTTTCATCATATTATGCCCTTCCTCCTCCCAATGAAGTTCAGGTGGGAAATTTTTTCAAGGGATTGGGGAGGGGTACTCTTTGCAACCTCAGTTGAGGATTAAGTTAGAGGTGTCTGTTATGAGGATTCTTACTCAACATGGTTTGTGTTCTTGAGGAAGCTGAATTCACTGATTGTACTGTCACAGTTGTCCTTCCATGATGCCTGCTGTGGGCCTCCCATATGTTGTTCAGTGATTAATACCAGTTTGTTTTCAGTCTCTTCTTGTCCACATATTTTAAACCATTAAGATATCTTGATACAGTTGTACTGAATTAAGTCACCCAAAGTTCAAAATAGTACCAAATTTCTAATATTATATTGTTCAAGCATTAAGGTTTGAACTGTTTACAGGTGAAGAAACACTGGCTGGGCTTAAACTATACAAAGGAAGGCGTGGCAGGAAATGACGTCAGTCGGACAAATGTGGCAGACATTCGCGTTGCATATCGGTATGAGACGCTCATTGGAGAACTGGAATGCATCTGGAAAGGCTCCATGTCATATGATGAGTCACTCGGCAAGGAAAATTAGACACAAATTTGTAGATGATTAAGAAAAGTTATATTTTGACTGTTTTGTGAAGTTTTTATGAAAGCAGAATTTTCTGTTACATATTTGTGTTTTCCTTGAAAACTTATTACCACGTAAACAGAGTGCACCTAGAAGTGTATTTCATTCCACCCATTGACGGAGGAAAGGTGGTGGGAATGAGGTAATTTTTTCAGCATTGGCTTTAGACCGGTCCCTGTCTGTTTCCAAGTTTACACAGTGTTTAACAAATATGTTAGATTTTTGAATTAGTTTGCATTTTCAAAATAGATTTGATTTGGTTGAATATTGTTGAAAATTAAAAATTGATTTAGCACTATGAATAATTCAATCCTGAGGGCATTTGCATGTGTTTTTTGTAATGTCTAAGCAATTTACCTATGTATGTGTGCTGTGTTGTATAAAAACTGACAACAACATATCAAAATTTCATGTGGTGTAAACCATATTTAGGTCAGGCTAGGTTGAACAAGGACATGTTTTTTGATAAATTCAAGTAAAATTCCCTTTGTTGGTGATTTTTGATAAAGTTTAGTGCAAAGAAGTCTTAGAAAACTTCCATTATCATCTTTTAATCAAATATCAAGATGTTAAACTTGATCAATTTTAAAAAAAAATAATTGACTAATTGTGTATATAATCAGAAAACTAGTTGTATTGCCATGTGAACAACATATATATAAAAAAATATTAATATATCCCAGTATTGTTTGAGCCAGTTACAATCTCTAAAGCTTTAAGATCAAATTTAGGTCAGATTGTCTAATTCATTATGTGAAAATAATTATTTATCTTTCAGTTTAAATATTAAACAGAGCTATTTTTACTTTAAATGTCTCATTTTGAAACAAGTTTTTTTGTAGATCATTTAGTGATAATTATCTGTTTGTTTTTAAGATTTTATTGCATTTAACTTACTATGAGATATATGTGTTTAGAGTATGTGTGTAACTTACTATGAGTTAGGTGTGTTTAGAGTATGTGTGTAACTTACTATGACCTATGTGTGTTGAGGGTATGTGTGTAACTTACTATGACCTATGTGTGTTGAGGGTATGTGTGTAACTTACTATGTGTGTTGAGGGTATGTGTGTAACTTACTATGACCTATGTGTGTTGAGGGTATGTGTGTAACTTACTATGACCTATGTGTGTTGAGGGTATGTGTGTAACTTACTATGACCTATGTGTGTTGAGGGTATGTGTGTAACTTACTATGACCTATGTGTGTTGAGGGTATGTGTGTAACTTACTATGAGTTAGGTGTGTTTGTTTAGGGTATGTGTGTAACTTACTAAGTTACGCATGTTTAGGGTATGTGTGTAACTTACTATGAGTTATGTGTGTTTGGAGTATGTGTGTAACTTACTATGAGTTATGTGTGTTTGGAGTATGTGTGTAACTTACTATGAGTTATGTGTGTTTGGAGTATGTGTGTAAACATTTGTAAACATGCTAGTTTGATCACAGCCTTAAAAAAATATCTAGATAACTTCATTTTTTCTGACTGTAAAGGAGGTGATTATTTATTTCAATGCCTCTGCAAGGACTTGAACCTGGGACACCTGTTTTACCAGTCTTACACTCCATCAGCTGAGCTAAAGAGAAGTTCTCTCTAGCTTAACAGTATATTACAGTTATTATTTTACCAGGGTTAATGACAAATACACTTTTTCATTTAATTGAACATAGTTCAATATATCTAATTGTTATCATTTAAAACTAGTGATGTTAATTGCCTATTTGTACGGTTTTTAATACAGCTCACTGTGTTAAAATCTGTAGTTACTGTGATAGTGGATGGCATGTGAGATATAATACAGTTTATGTAATGTCAGATAATGCTGATAGGTATATAGGAAGTGGCAGTGCTCCACTACAGACAAAATTTGGGTAAAATTTTTATGCATATCATTCCTTTATTTTAATAGCAGCCCAGTCACTGAAAGGTTCTATATATTAAATTACAGATGTGCAATAGTGAAGAACAACAGTTTGAATCTGTAAACTTTACCTCTCCACTTTTGTGTTGAAAGAAAAAGCATTTGTTTTTTCATAGAATCTAATGGTTTTCAAATACAAAGTTTAATAGAATAATGTTACTTGAGGTTGATTTTTAAATGAAGTGCACTTACCCAGAGTTATAGTATAATGATCCAAATAGCTTAAGTTGTACATTGTTTTTAATTTTGAAAAGTATTTTAATGAACACACATGAACATTGTCTTGTCATCATAATTTCTGATCTGAAAGTTGTGATGTCAGTTCTGCATTTATAAAATGATTTTTTTTTTCTTATTTGGTAGAACATATTGTACCCCAAAAGATCAGCCTTTTTTTAACGTGTTTTAACATATTTAGATGAAGTGCGCTTATCTGTATTGTAGCTCTGTAGTAAATGTAGTTATATGTGTGGGGGATGATTTTATGAGATTCATGACTTAACATCATTTATGAAGGACAATGTTACCATTTACTTTTAACAGAAATTTTATTTATACTAAGTATACACTCACTTTCAGACAGCCAAACAGAAAAATAAGTGTTAAGGACATCGTTTGCCTTAAAGTTACATCCGCTTCAGAGCATAATGTTATTATACTTGTTGATTTTACTTAATATAAAAGAAATGCTTGTCGATAAATCTTAATGATCAAATCCAAATCCTCTACCTTATCACATGGGAACAGTAGAACCTGTCTAATCTCTAAGATTATACAAAATGTTCAAATAAACAAGCATTAAGGAGTTGTTTCATAGGAAACTTATTGTTCCATCATTCACATTGGCACTAGTCTCTCAGATCCTAGGAGGTTTATATCAATATCTGTTGCTGTTAACTTATCGTTAAGCCCTATAGAGGGTAAACCTTAGTGAGTTGTCTCCCGAGATTTGTGTGTTTTACTGTAGAGAACCTAGCTACTTTGTAGATCTCATGTATTTTGTATTTTTAGTGTTTCAATATGTAATATTCTTTTAAATTATTTTTTTTTTATATTTAATGTGACGTTTGGTTTGTTTTCATAACGGAATTTAGATACTTTTAGAAACTATTGATATATTCTATTTCTCTGGTATAACGATTCTCCTGTCAGTATTTTGTCTGACTTTCTCTGTTCATTACTTTTGGATGGGAAGAACTATCAGTAATCTGTAATTTCTTCCCATAGAAATTTCAAGCATATTGTGTTAAAGTTGTTTATTTCAACTTGTTTTTTTAAGTCTACACAAACAAGATGCAGAGACAACAGTAAATAGGATGTTTACATAGACACAGAAAATGTTTATCATTTAAATATGTCTATCTCATATTTTCTTGTGTTTATGTCTGATGCCTTTACTAGATGAAGTAGTGTTCAGAGTTTCACAACTTGAATTTTGACCATTTGGATAAATTGAATACAATATTTTAAAATCTTATCAATGCTGTAAGTTCAGGAACACATTGGCTATTCTGACATCAGTGGAGTATTGGTTGGTGGTTTTATTCAAGTAACTTTCCAAGATGTTGATTGGCTGGATTATTACAAGGCATGATTGTATAACAGGATCAGAGTTGCTTATTACAGACAAAGCTGTGTACCTGTAATTTTTACCCATCAGGTACTGGAGTAACAGTTTTCAGGAGTAGGAGCCTGTGCTAACTGATGATTGATATCCAAAAATTTAGACAAGTTCCAGTTGATAAAGATTTAAGTTCCACAAGATCAATTAACATTTAAGCATTAGGTGTTTCAGAGATGAAGATGTGACCACCAGAATATGAAATATTGATAAAGATTTAATTACCACAAGATCAATTAACATTTAAGCATTAGGTGTTTCATGTATGACCACTATGAATATACATATGTCTCTCCATTACCTTTTTTTCAGGGAAATTATGCTTATGTTATCATATTCTGTAACCGAGTTTATGATTTAAAACTTTGATCTACTTTGTTTTATAAACCTTTTTGAACCTATTGAAAATTTACTGTTTTGCTCATACATAACCTAGCCTTTTTTTAAGTGTCTTACAAATAGAGATATTAAATATATGTTTACTTTTCTTTATTTTTAGCACTGAAAATGGATATGAAAATTATGATTTCAAAACTTGTTGTTAAATCAAGATATTTGTGAAATTAGATGTTTTGTTTGCTGTATAGTAATTATTATTGGTGAAATTTATGCGATCTTTTACCCACTGAAGAACGAATCCTAGAGTTGATCTTAATTTATATGCTGAGATTAGTACACTGCGGAAGAGTCATGTATTTGGCATCAAATCTTTGATTAGAGTAAAGGATTGTTAATATGAACCTTGTCCAAGATCAAATATATTGCCAAATGCCAGAGTGTTTTTTGTTGCCATGAGCATTCTAGGATGAAGAGCTATTTAGTTGATTCAATTAAATGACCTTGACCTATTTTCAAGATCATGTGAATTAATATCATCAAATAACTCCTTCAGAATAATTATGAATCTCTCGAAGGTCAGTACTATTTCAATGAATCTGGCCTTGCATGCTTTGAAGTTCTCATAACTTATCATGTGAACAGTACAGGTTCACTGAACCAGTTGTTTACAGAATAAAAGGTTAAAGATACAGGTCCATTGAGCCTCTTGTTCACACAACAAGTGTATGATACAGGTATATTGGGCCTCTTGTATGATAAATAGCTGTAGTTCTTTCATTTGGCATCTTCTGAGTGATGTACTTGAAATGCATCAGTTTACATTGTATGTGTTCCTAGGTAATACCTTCTATAAGCATTTATCATTGTTTATAGTAATAATGATAACAAGGTTCACACAAGTTTTTAACGGTGCTTCTTTACTCACACCATAACAGATCTTAAGCACCAACTGATAAATATATAATAAATTATCTTTACAGAAAGATATAAATATATACTGTCATAGGTAGCATCATTATTTCATGGTTGACTGACAAACATGTTGTATTTTTAGCAGGTTTATTTTCATCATTTCCTGTTCACCTTACTGAGACGACACATAAAATTCAAATCATACTTCAAAATCATAAAAGAAACCAGTGAGTCAAAATACTAATTCCAGATGTCCTTTGACATGAAGTAAGTGATAAGCAAATTTACAAAGTAATATATGCTAAATGACTGTCCGGTGAAATTTTCATTTCAGATTTATGTTAGCTGTTGATGTGAAATTCATAAGGTACGAAACAAGGTATAGCTTAACTGTACCTGAGTTTTTTAAGCGATGCCAATTTTATTGATTGTTCAAATAAAAAATAATAAAAATCCAACAGTTTGAATGATTTAAATCCAGCCTTAGAGTTTCTTAAAAGACTCGTAAGTTTTGTTCTGAAATTAGGATGGAAATGCCAAGTGGTAGTTAGCCTTATGAATTTACGTTAAAACGAACAAGATTTTGTTTACTTAGATATGTTTTACTATCCATATGTTCTTGTTAGAGGAACAATGACTGTTTACCAATTGTAGTTATTTTGTATCGTGAAATATTGTTTGTCAGATGTAGTGCCAAACATGTCAGATTTAAGTGTGTATGTGTAATCAGTGGATCTCAGTTAAATGTGACACAAGTTTATCATTGTGATTGTTTGGACATTTTTTTAAACTAATATTTCGCCTTGGCATCATGTTGATTTCAATTTCAACCAGCTTATAAGAACTGGTTTTTCCATCAGTACATATTTATGCTTATCAGTACTCAGATAGTGCTACATTTTTTAAAACTGTTTTATCTATAATTTGCTTCATGTCAACTTGATTTTGAATGCTAACAAAAGCATGAAATTAATAAATATGTTACTATTTATATTTTTTAATTCTTTGGTCAAATTATGTTCACATTCAGTTATATTTTTGTTCTGTTGATGGGAATTTTCTTTCAAAAAAGGTTGATAATGTTAAGAAAGGAGATGTCCATATTTCATAAAGAATTAGGTGATATCATGAATTGATATAGCTCTGTCACATAGGTTTAGAGCTCAGTATATTTGATTAAATATAGATAAATATTAAATGGATGATCAAACATTAAAATTTATACTGGTTTGTATTTCAAAATGGCTGCTTGACTTAATTTACAGAGTCTCCACTTGTGCTATGAATTAATCCACATAGTTTGATAAGAACAGAGAGTAATACTAAAATTGATTACATTGCATATCAGAATGAAACCTTGGCCCGGGCGAAAAATGGAGCGATACTAGGATTCTCAGCCAGGGACAGGGATGATCAAAAGGAAGTAAATTTAAACGTCTGAAATTGAAAGTGTATATTATGTTGTTGTTGATTATATATATATATATATTAAATAGGTGATTTATTAAAATTGCTTTAGTAAATTGAAATATTTGTCTGGGTTGTATTTTTAAAGAGGCCATCATGATCTGAATACAAGGGCTTGGCCAATGTCTAAAACCAAAACAAGTATGTCTGATTTGAAGTGGTAAAGGAAGACAAGATAAACTAGCAGACTTAAGGGGCTTGATAATTCTTCACAAATTGTTAAGGAATCTGGAAGCCAGATTAAACAAGGTTGTGTATAAAAAATATCCACAAGTAATAGAACATAGGCTATCTACTGTGATACTGTTATCAAAGAAAAATTAAAAGACAGTATGCTATAGATATATTGACTTCAAATGTTTCTCTTTGCCTGAAGTTGTGATCATGGACCCTGTTATGCTGCAGTGATTGTCATGGAGTAAAAGGTTCACCATAATTGTACTAGATTGCATGCTAGTCCTCCCTTATGTTGTTCAGTGTGAAAACTACCAACCGACTGAATCAAAATGACCTGAATCCTCAAATGGCAATAAACCAACAAACGTGAAATTCTTTATGAAAAATAACTGCAAGATCTTCCTGAACTTTCTGTAGGATATTAAACTGAATGTTCACGAAGTATTAAAAAAACAGACATCTTGATTCAGAGTTTCTACAACAAGACCTTGACCCTAATCATATGACCTTAATCTTACTAATGAAACAGACTGGATAAAGGAAAGATAACTCTTAAACATTTTATATTCATGTATTAGCTGTCATATTATCGATAATCACAGCATGGGTGGATAGCAAAATTAATGAGGTTGGATGGTTATTAAATGTGGTGCAGCACAATTATAATCAAGACAAACTGGTATTAAAAATAGTACACAACAGAGAGTAATAACAAACTTTGAACTAAAGATGATCACCTACTAGCAATACTGTTCTTAAACTGCTAGGATCCTCAAATGATGTTTAAGTGATGACAATAATCAATTACAGACTTTCAAATAGACCATGAACAATAAAAACAAAACTGATGATGATTTCTGGCATTTAATCCGGCTTCTCACAATCATTCACACACATATACTTCCAATATGTACAGAGAAAAAAGCTTAGCTGTAACAGTCAAAATAGTATGATACACCTGCATATACATCATGTATTCTGCAATAATCTGTCAGATATATATGACCTTCCAGATATACAGGAGTCAAGATATTATATATAATCTTCCAGATATATTAGGGTCCAATATGTGAGTTGTTCACTAAATAATTTGATCTAAATATTCAGACAACCTTATCATGTTCAAGGATTCCAGAAACATGCCATCCTTTGTTGTTATTACTGTAAGTTAATTACTGTAAGTTAATTAAGTACTGTAATTAATTTCTATTGTAAAACCGTATGTGACCACAGATGCAAAAAAAAAAAAAAAAAAAAACACCTCTGCAACCAGCCATATTAAAATTTTTTTTTGATAAAACTGACTTGATCTCAGTGGAAGATTCATGGTGAATACTTATGAATTAGGAACATAGAGAGTGTTCATAGATTTTTCTCGTCATAAAGACTTAAAAGTCACAAAAAATACATCCAGCACTTTGTGTAATATTTTAGTTGCATCTTCGTGTAAAAATCTTCCAGATGTTAAGTTGATGTTTAAAAAAAACACTGCATCAATCAAGGTAAGCTATGCAAAGTTTAGAGACTGTTATGAGAAAATCTTTAAATTTTGATTATGAAACAGAGGCCAGTACAGGGTTGAGATAGAAATATTGATGGATTAGATGTACAATGTTGAGAGTTAATTTGTATACCCAGATCATATTCATCCATTCATGAACAAGTCTGACATTCATTTTAATACATGTATACAGTATATTCTACCAAATGCATGCAAAACTACACATTTACAAAAAATATTCAAACTCTGCCAGGTAAATAAAGAGATAATATCTGACAGTTCATGAAAATGGATGTGATGGTGTGTAAGAGGCTGCCTCTGAGGTCTAGTATAGAACAACAGGAGAGACTCATTGTGGGTGTATAATAGTAATTTCTCCCTATGTTCAGCATTTGTATATAAGTACAGAAAAGTTATTATCCATTGTACTTAAATATTTTTTTGAAATCCTACACGTCTACATTTTTGCTGTGCCTTTGGACTATGTATTGGACATTATTACATATCTATTGTAATGTATCTACTCAAGCTAACACTGTAATAACATCAGCTGCCATAGATACATTCTTTAGAAGTGTTTAAACATTGTAGGAAATAAAATATTCTGATTCTGTCTAAACCTGTCAAACAAACCACACGTTTGCTACCTAACAAACCATACATATAAACAAGCTGTACAGATCTCTACACAAACATGTCTGTCGAAGCTACTCCTCTGTCAGACTCGGGCTTATCATAATGAAGTATCGTTACATGAACACTGGAATAGATGTTGACAAGATCAGTCCTCATCTCTTCAGTACAATCACAAGTTTAAAAAGATGTAGATGCTCTGGAGGTCTCAATAAATTTTACAACAAGATTTTAATAATGCTACTCCATCAGAAACTACAGTTACTGTCATCACACAACAAAATTTTCATGTAAAAAACTTTAGAAAAATGCAAATCCCTGAATTGAAAGAAAATGCGGCAGTTGGTTTTTTACATGCTTATAATGACAAGTTCTTAAAATCATACAGGCCTACAATCCAATTGTTTTGGTCAATTCAAATGAACATTTTTATACTTCAAATATGTGCTCCACAACCTTTTTCTCTGAAGCTTTCTAGTAACATGTCTACATTTGAGGTTCTACCTCTATTAATTGTTGATAAATCTATTACCTGATGTAATGTAATGGAGGAAACAAGGAAAGTTCACCACAGTAGTATGGATAAACCTGTCTAGAAAGTAGTCTACACTTCAGTGTAAAATTTTCATATTTCTCAAAACATCACTTAGAAGTGGAGAGATTTTCTGTAACACTTTCCTACCATAAAATTGTAAAGGTAAAGAGAATGCACCCGTTAATGTTGGTGTTATGTGGTAAAATTGATGAAACCTCCCTGGCAAATTGCATAAAGTGATGACATGATGTTTTTTTTACCACATTTATTTTAATGGGTAGGTATAATGATGTCTACTCCAACCTCAGATGGAAATACCTGTATGAAGTATGGGATAGCACTTTCTTATTACATTTCCTGTGCCTTCCAAACAGTTCCATAATGATAAACCTTTCAGATTCTACCTATCCTCTGTACCCTAACAATACACAAACTGTATCTGGTCAAGTTCTTGTTTAATGTAGCTGTTGGTATCAAACTACAAGCTGACTTTACATTGTTCAAATAAAGAAGGATTTCAACATTATTCTTTCAGATTTATCCTGTTTTGCTCAGATTTCATCTGTAAGATTACTACTAATTGTAAAATCAAACTTTAAGTTAAAAATCTTGACACAATTTCCTATTTCACCACACTTTCTCTGTCTTTAAAAATAGACAAGTTTCTGATGAAAACATAAAACTGAATTCAAGATTTGAAAACTATTTACCATGTAAACCTGATTTCCAAACACACCAGGTATATCCTTAAGTGTGAGCATCACTTCAGTGTACATGCATCAACAAGAAATCCAATCAGCTTTCGCATCATTTAAAACTAACACGAAAGTAGTTTTATCAATATTCGTTAGATCAAACATGTGCCCACTAAGAGTAAGAACAGCCTTCAGTATTTGTTACTTATATCACACTGTAAATGAAATAATGATGTAGTCTTTATCACTGTCACAGATTTATCACCCAACTATCAGTCCTATACCAAAGCGGTACTGAGGTTTCTGTGTATTCGCATAATTTGCCATGCCACTAAGGGCAAAGGTGAATGGAAGTGGCATTAATTTCTTCTCCATCGTTGCTCCTACAGACCAATTAGTATCTACCTGGCCTGAAACATCCAAATTACAGAAAAAGTTAAATACAGAATTCTTGTTCAAGTAAAAATATTTACAAAGACAATGACAGAAAAAAGTTAAATACAAAATTCTTGTTCAAGTAAAAATATTTACAAATACAATGACAGACATTGCATTACTATTCAATGATATGTAATTAAAACAAGAGGCCCATAGGCCTTAACGGTCATCTGACAAAAAGCAAGCCAAACTCTAACAACAGTGAGTCTGCTGTTAAAACAGTGGGCTTTATTCATTTGAACAAACATGGTAGCCCTTCCTTCCAGCATACTACAGACCCAATATCAGCACTCATGGACTTTTGCTTATTGAGAAGAAGTCGCTTGTATATTTTAATATATTTGACCCATGTGACCTTGAAAGAGGGTCAAGGTCATTCATTTGAACAAACTTGGTAGCCCTTCATCCCAGCATGCTACAGACCAAATATCAGCATTCTGAGCCTTTTGGTTGTTGAGAAGAAGTTATTTAAAAATTTAAACGTATTTGACCCCTGTGACCTTGAAAGTGGGTCAAGGTCATTCATGTGAACAAACATGGTAGCCCTTCATCCCAGCATACTACAGACCCAATATCAGCACTCATGGACTTTTGCTTATTGAGAAGAAGTCGTTTGTATATTTTAAAATATTTGACCCCTGTGACCTTGAAAGTGGGTCAAGGTCATTAATTTGAACAAACTTTGTAGGGCTCCATGCCAGCATGCTATGGGCCAAGTATTAGCCCCCTAGGCCTTCTAGTATTTGAGAAGAAGTTTTTTGAATGAAAAGTTTACGGACAACGCATGGCGCACGACGACAGACGAAGCATGATGGCTATAGGTCATCTGGACCCTTCAGGTGAGATGACCTAAAAAATCCATGGGAGGGCCAAAGATAATGGGATGTAACAAAAGTTTCTATTGGATAGGTGATTTACAAAATGAGTCAAAGAGCAACAAGTCTGGTATGATTAGGTATTTGTTGAATACAATCACTTCTCTTAAATGAACCTGCGAAGATCACTTAGAGGAATAGTCCCTATGAAAGCAGGACATTTTCACAGCCACTTGTTGTAAACACATTTTTATAAAACAATATTTTTAATCTCTTACCTTTAAAAGTAACATTTGTTGATGGTATTTCTAGTTGGTAACCAAGTGTGCCAACACTTTCCTTGCTGGCCAGACTAGTCTCCACCTCAGCTGCTATCTGAAGTTGTTCACTAACTTTGTGGTGGTAGCAAGCATGAGCAGCCCCACCAGTAGGACAAAAGTTTCCAGTTAACTGCCACTGCTTTCCTGTAAATGTAAAGGTCATATTAACTATATGACTCTCCACAAGTAGATATGCTAACTTGGTATCAATTTTCTTTTTATCAATATCCTCTAGTAAAGTTCACAGTAACAATTAATTCTAATAGATTGGTAGATATTAATTTTGCTAGAATGTAAAGAATTCCCTACAATCATATGTCATGGTCAAAATTAAGAAGTCTCACCTTCCCCACTTTGTCTCCGTAAAACTGAGCTTATTTTTTTTTAAGATAATTTGAACACAGATTCTAACAGCAATATCAAAGAAAAAAGACGAAACTTCCTCAAAAAGACAAAACTTCCTCTCCATGTAAAGTTCTTTTTATGTTATAACTCTTTTTATCTGTGCACAATAAAGAATCTCATCGGGTAACATGAGTGATGGATCATCAAATTTCCTTAATGGCAGAGCTAGCCCATACTTCACATGTCAGTGGTCATCAATTCAGGAAAGACATATAACACACAACAAATAAATGCTGGTCTGTCAGTGTGTAACCAACAAGTAAATCAGAATTAGCTCGTGATATCACAGTGAATTGTTTAGATAACAGTAAATTGTTGTTCTACCTGTTATACCTGTCTAATGACACCACAGTAAAGAGTTTAGATAACAGTAAATTGTTGTCCTATCTGTTATACATGTCTAATGACACCACAGTGAATTGCTTAGATAACAGTAAATTGTTGTCCTACCTGTTATACGTGCTGCTAATGATACCACAGTGAATTGTTTGCCAGGAATCTGTGGACCAAACTGATACACTAGTTCTCCTCCAAGTGCTAACCGTGAAGTTACTGTTTGTAGGTACTGTGTAACCAAGATACCTACAAGACAATATATGTCAGTATAAAATCACTTTTCTCAATATGACGTAAAAATCAAAATAAATCCAGTTATACTTACAATTTGGTCTGTAATTATAATTATGGGCTAAATTCCTTAAACTTTATATTCAGAATACTAGATGCAAAAAGCAAAGTATTATTAGGCAAATTATTCTACATATGAAGAATGTAATTTCATTGGCGAGACTCACATTTGGAGTTTTAACATCTCTGCGTGTAATGTAGGAGCCAACAACAAAATAATAATTTTCTGAGATAGAGTCTTTCTCAAACAAAAAATCTCATTCAAAAAATGAAAATATCTTTAAAAGATTTGTCCTTCAAAATAAACCAAAATGCCCTTAGATTTTTTAATTTTTTAAAAATTTTCTTTTTTCCTCACTATTTTGAAACAGTTGGTAGTGCATCCTTTACTGTTGGGAAGTCTGTATTTGGATAGTTTTTAACTTTAAACTTGATGCCCTTACCTGAGTTATTTATAACGTCTATATTTCCAGCTGTAAGTGATGCAGTGTAGTCACTCCCTTTATAGTCCAATGTTCCCTGGGCAGCAGCGCATTTATTGTCTTGGAACTTTAAAATCAAATATAAAACTTTATTTCAAATTTGTCTATTATTATTTTAAAAGAAACAGGAAGTACAAGGACCATAAATATATGCTAAGGACAGTAAAATGGTATGTAAATCCTTGCCTAATAATGAAATGGCCTTTCACCATATTGGATACATAAAGAGGTAAACAGGTCTGCTCAATTTACCCTGAACCTACAGGAGGAGGGTTAGGTAATGATAGTTTTTACAACATAATTCATTTATCAGACATTTGTCTCAATTTACCTGTGAAACAAATTTTGTTCTTAATCGATCAGAAAATGCATGAATGATGTTGGCGTTGAGATTTCCACTGGCATCCACATCCCCTATAATGACTGGGTAGACCTGTGAAAAAAAAATTCTTCATAAAATCTAGGAAATTGGGAAATTTGATCAGTAACATTAAAAATGAAAGAAATTTGTCTTCACAGTAGGATCTTTATGTTGTCTGTTATGATGGACTAAAAAACCTTTAAATGACATATTTTTTCCATTCATTCTCCCATCCTCTTCCTCACCTCTGAGGGACTAAGTTGCTTTGATCCTATGTAGGTTGTACCAAATCTGTATCCTGATAAGGCTGGGTTTGTCCCACTCATGTTGATCGTATGACTTATCTGGAAATGGCTACTGAGACCTTTTGATATTATAAGTTTTCCTCCTTCAAAATTCTGTGGGAATAACTCTGTGAAATAAAAGTCACTGTTAATACATATAGTGGTATTGTAGTAATTTAAGAAAGCAAAGCAGACAGTAGATAATAATCTAAATACCTGTCGAGATATCAAGAAATTACATGAATTTTAGCACCAATATTTGTTAAGATTTGCGTTGATAAATTCATGGATATAGGATATACATTGCGAATTCCTGCACTCTTGCTTATTTGTTGAATTCAATACCAAGAGAAGTATGTAGTCATTTACTAGAGATTAAAACTGGGCTGACAAATAGTAAGATAATACTACATAAAAATCTGCAGAGATTCAGGGATTTCAACAACATGATTTGTTATGTTGAAAGTTCTCTTAATGGCACTGTATACATGCCACATCATACTCTATACACACATCATATCATTCACTAAGTCTGAGAATATTGGGGTATGTGTATGCTCAGTTAAGTTAACATTATCCACAGTGCTTTTGTACTGTCTTTTTCCATCCACAACAAAAACATTTGTTCTGATTGCAGGACAACACATCAATACTTTACCAATGAAATAAATTCATCATATTCTTCATTTGCATTTTAATGCAGGTCTTCATGATTTCTTTAAGAAAGGCCTATAGATACGTGCACACTAACACTGACCTCTTTAGGCTACAAACAGATCTCCTGCGATGAGGGACATCTTTATTTAAGGCAACAACCTTAAATAAGGATGTCCCTCGTCTTTTAACTATGTCTCGATTCGTGAGTATTTGATTATCCATTGTAGATACAAATTATAAACCAGGATGTATATTTATCAATTTCGTCGTAATTCCATTTGAAGATATCAATCTCGACAGAGAATGATGACATAATTGTTTGCCCTTGACACCATACACCTTATGACAGAAACATTTCATAGCAAGGTAGACAAACACTAGATCGTCATATCCAAACAATTTGTAACTAACAAAAATACATCACACTCTACCTTTGCATTTTTTATGAAGGTCTTCATAAGTGCCAGGGTTGTTATCGTCTGCATTTGACGGCGGTTGCGGAGCCGTTTCCCCGGGTGCACTGGTCATTGGCGGTGGTGCCAATATTGGGGGAGAAAGCGGCATACTGGGTGGAGGAGGGGATGCGGCAGCGTAAACGTTACCCATTATTTATGTTGGTAAATTTTCAAAGAAATTTGCAATGTACTTTCCTTCACATTCGCTACTAGAACATGTCTGTCTACTGTCCTCGTGGTTTCACGCCGCCATTCAGTTGACAATCGTGCATGCGCAAATTGAATATCCGCCTTTGTTAAATTTGGAAACAACATCCGACTATATTTCCGGATTATGACTTGCCATTAAAGGCGTTTATTTTCTCGATGGTAGTTACGTGCAATTTAAGGTCTTCATTTCAGCATAATGAACGAAGGAGATTCAGACAAAGAATTAGAATATGCCAATCAGGAGAAAGTTAAAAAAAATTTGACCATGCTGTAGAATGTATCAAACCATTTAAGCATTAGACTTTAAGATAGGTTCAGTGCTGTAGTTATTGAGGTCGGTAAAAACTTTACATTACCGTGAAAATGTCAACTTATACCAAATATATATCTTGTATCCGAATCTACTTCTCCGTAAATATTTTGTATTGAACTTCAGATGAAAAAGCAGAGACCAAGACAGAGTTTGTTCATTTGTGCCATGCTTTTGAAAACAATGGATTACAATAGTGCCGAAGCTAAACAAGATAAATGAATGAGAATATCAAAATGATACATCAAATCCCGCCCCCCCTCTCCCTTATCAATACGTGATAATAGTTTTCTGTGTCAAAAGCAAACACACATTATATATATATATATTTTATGCTAAGAGCATTTTTTTTTCAAATCCCAACCTGACTAAATTTCCAACTGTAGTTCAGTCAGATAAAACCAGGAGTATGCGCTAAATGATAAACTAAGTTAAGGAACAAGGAGCTAATTCACTAAATCTGAATTTAACGAATTTAATGTGTATCCTGGTCACTGACAATTAAAAGGAATTTATTTTTATTCCGTATAATCCAACTGAATCAACAAGGTTGAAAACCGCATCAAAATTGGCCGGCCCAATACCGAGATATTGACCTGTCTTTCTCCCTACCGCACATGACATCGGCTCTCGTTCACTGAAAGGCCAAATAGAAGGCGTATATCCCGTTAAATGTTCATAGCAACCGCATGGAAGGATAAAACTGGACCTTTCCCTAAAATATTCAATTAATAGAAACAAATAACCTTAAAGCTCCATCTCAAATCACGGACTAAGAACTGAATCCATCTATATCTAAATCCGTGATGAAATAGCTTTGATTTAAAGTTTTACGGGAAAGCGAGCTAGTCGAGTGCAGTGAGGGGGTCGTGGTAGTCAGTATAGAAAGGAATATACATTCTCGGAACCCATCGCCTGTCAAGCTTATCGCTATACTGACAGAGTGAAACGAAGGGCAGTAACTCTGGGATTTCAGAATGAGAAAATAAAGCCACGGGCACAAATGTTAGATTGAAACGGAATATTTTTTAGTCTTGAGGAATTAGATAAAGCTGATGATAACACTAGACCAGAGGCGACGTAAATCTCTCTGTACACAGTACGTACAGCCACTTGAAATTTGTAAAAGATTTCAGTCACGGCCTTGGATTGAATAGCAAGACATCGCGCTGTATGACACATTTTATTATATATTACGATGACAGATTTACATTGTGCACTCCTGATGTTAGGCCAGCAATTCTAATATTTGATATTATTTACAACAGTAACTTTTAAATATCGAACACACGATGTACATTCGTGACCTTTTATTGTTTAACGTGAAGTACTTTATTCCTGGGAATAGAAAAACTTTCAGGGTATATTTAAACACAATGAGCTTCAATAATTCACGGGATCTTTATCTTTATTTTCATTTATGCTAACTAAGTTATGGACAGAAACTGAAGACAACGAAGATGTTCAACGAAATACATCAGCAGGCAAGATTAAATCCAGGATAGCGAAATCACATCATTTTGGTAACTTATATTAGTTGCACGAAAACACAAAGTTAAATGTTTGATTAAGAAAGATAAAAAAAAATGTATGCAAAACAAGCTGAAAATAAAGAGCATGGCGAAAAAAATCAGAATATATGCTAAATCAATATAGCACAATTTACCGCAAGGACCCCCCCCTCTCTCTCTCTCTCTCTCTCTCTCTCTCTCTCTCTCTCTCTCAGGTCACGATATATCTTGAATCTGAGCCTTTTTTACAGGCGCTGATGTGGTTGTTTCATAGACCCAAACTCTCTACACCAATTGCTCTGAATGGAATGCGATGGGCCTCCCGCATGTTACTCAGTGATGTAGCCACTAGCTACCCCAAGGAAATCCTTAAAATTACCCTGATTAGTTGTGGGCTGATTAAAAAATCCAACAAAAATATTTCAAAAGTAGTCCAAACATTCACCTACAATCACTATTAAAGTGTATAACTTGATTGTGTGATGTTATAGACTAAGTTTTACCAAAAACTGTCCTTGGGTTCATGAGATGTCCCGTTCTGAAGATTGTTTATGAATACGCACAAACAACGTCAAACACATAACATATATTAAAGATAATATTTATTGATATATATATAGATTACATCTAATTTGAATAAGCATGCGAGAATGAGTAGAAGTAAAGTCTGATTGTATCCATGGTAATCTATCACCACTGGTATTGTTTCCGGACATTAGAAGGACAATCTCTTTTGACGGAAGACAGCATATCTCACATTGGACATCAATTTATTTCCGTTGGAATAAAATCTTATATCTTCGATGACGAAGTTTTCGTCAATTATACCAGCCAACGTTCCCATGCTATATTGTACAAGTAAATGAGTCAAAATATCTCACAGAATAAAACAATTAGCCGTTCCAGTATTTATATTCAACATGTTATATCAATCACTAAAGCCGGACATAAAGTGATAACATTAATTCTATTTATTGAATTAATCATCCTCAAATTTCAGGAAAAATGACTACTGCCTCTAAAAAATGCCCGAAATGGCGGTTCTAATTGATTACTAGTAATCTTGGAATTTTCTTTCATCAATTTTTGTTCCAGGTGAAATCCTGTAAAAGGGGGCGGGAGGGGGCGTGCGTGGTGGTGGTGGTGGTGAGGAGGAGGGGGGGGCGGGGCGGGGCGGGTACATGTATTTATTGATATCATCAATCAACTGAATTAGTGATATCATTTATTTCAAAAGTGGGTAAAGGTGACCAGTAACCTTGACCGATGACCACCAAAATTTAATCCGATATCGGGAGTGTGATTTTATCGCTTGAATATTTGAATTAATCTATTTTAGGACTCACGAGACATCTTGTAAAACGTTTTTATTCCAAAAGTTGTTTAGAGTGGCATTTACGTTAAACAATGCCCATTAAAACTAAAACGAAATCATAATTTAGAACTTAACTGCGTGCTATTATGGTGCGAGTATGATTTAAATCTATCGAGATGTTTATGAGATATCTGGGTAAGCTCTGTGCTGGACGCACGAACAGACAGACAGACGCACAAAGGTGTTACTATCTACCATATAATTAATTGGTGTAAAATTGGACATACATGTGACTACTGTATGAAAGGTTAAAAAGATATTAAAGTTATATATTTGAGCATTGATTTCACAGGCTGTAGCCCCTTTGAATATGCTGTGTGAAGTTGGTTAAAATACAACATTCATGATTTGAATGCTGCGCAGTTCGGCGTACATCGTTCAACATTCATAATCTGTATGTTGTGCAGGAAGAAATTCGACATACAGCTTTCAGGATCTAGTTATATATCAATCAAAATGCGGCATCTGGTATGTTGACTGTGAGGTATCTGGTATGTTGACTGTGAGGTATCTGGTATGTCGACTGTGAGGTATCTGGTATGTCGACTGTGCGGTATCTGGTATGTCGACTGTGCGGTATCTGGTGGTATCTGGTATGTCGACTGTGCGGTATCTGGTATGTCGACTGTGCGGTATCTGGTATGTCCATTGTGAGGTATCTGGTATGTCGACTGTGCGGCATCTGGTATGTCGACTGTGCGGCATCTGGTATGTCGACTGTGCGGTATCTGGTATATCGACTGTGAGGTATCTGGTATGTCGACTGGGCGGTATCTGGTGGTATCTGGTATGTCCACTGTGAGGTATCTGGTATGTCGACTGTGCGGCATCTGGTATGTCGACTGTGAGGCATCTGGTATGTCGACTGTGAGGTATCTGGTATGTCGACTGTCGACTGTGAGGTATCTGGTATGTCGACTGTGCGGTATCTGGTGGTATCTGGTATGTCGACTGTGCGGTATCTGGTATGTCGACTGTGCGGTATCTGGTATGTTGACTGTGAGGTATCTGGTATGTCGACTGTGAGGTATCTGGTATGTTGACTGTGAGGTATCTGGTATGTCGACTGTGCGGTATCTGGTGGTATCTGGTATGTCGACTGTGCGGTATCTGGTATGTCCACTGTGCGGTATCTGGTATGTCGACTGTGCGGTATCTGGTGGTATCTAGTGGTATCTGGTATGTCGACTGTGAGGTATCTAGTATGTCGACTGTGAGGTATCTGGTGGTATCTGGTAAGTCCACTGTGAGGTATCTGGTATGTCGACTGTGAGGTATCTGGTATGTCCACTGTGCGGTATCTGGTATGTCGACTGTGCGGTATCTGGTGGTATCTGGTATGTCGACTGTGCGGTATCTGGTATGTCGACTGTGCGGTATCTGGTATGTCGACTGTGCGGTATCTGGTGGTATCTAGTGGTATCTGGTATGTCGACTGTGAGGTATCTAGTATGTCGACTGTGAGGTATCTGGTGGTATCTGGTAAGTCCACTGTGAGGTATCTGGTATGTCGACTGTGAGGTATCTGGTATGTCGACTGTGCGGCATCTGGTATGTCGACTGTGCGGTATCTGGTATGTCGACTGTGCGGTATCTGGTGGTATCTGGTATGTCGACTGTGCGGTATCTGGTATGTCGACTGTGCGGTATCTGGTATGTCGACTGTGAGGTATCTGGTATGTCGAATGTGAGGTATCTGGTATGTCGACTGTGAGGTATCTGGTATGTCGACTGTGAGGTATCTGGTATGTCGACTGTGCGGCATCTGGTATGTCGACTGTGCGGCATCTGGTATGTCGACTGTGAGGTATCTGGTATGTCCAC